TTATCGACGTTGCTAATGATAATATAAAATCAGAAATGTAGATTGCTACTGAAAAGAAAAACCAGTAGGACTAAGTCAGATAATGAAAATAAAGTCTAGAAGGTTTTTAAAAGATTAATTTAGAGTTATTTTGTTTTTCCAGAATGGATTGCATACTATATTTCAGTTTTCAAATTAAAATAAATGATTCGTAATACATTTCAAATTGTATTATCTAAAGTTTTCATTTATTGAGTACTTTGTGGAAGCTATAAATATTGACATATTGTCTTCCAGTAATTTATAAAATTTTCTGCATAAATCTTTAGGGAAATATTGCGACAAGGAGTTATTTACCAAGGCCTAGCAAGACATGATATAAACATGAGCAAATTGATGAGCAAGAACAACTTTAAATATTTTGTTTCCTATAAGCTAGATTTCATTTTCATGGATTTGACATTTCCTTCCTGGACACAGTTCTTTTTTTTAAAGTTTGTATTTAGGAGAGAAAGTTAAAATGTAAATTGAAATAACATTTACTTTTTCTTGAATTTCCTCTCTGACATGTGTATGTTAAAGGGTGGTTTCAGTAAAGCAGGGCTCTATTCTCACTTTCATCCAAAATGATTATGAGATGTGACCAGCTTTGGGAACATCATCGCGATACTCAGTAACAACAATTATAATTTAATTTTGTCATCTATAAACACTTATTGAGCACTTACTACATTCTAGGTACCAACATATAAGCTCTCTATGTATATGAATCCATAAAATATGAATAATAACCCTAAGAGCTGGATCCCATTAATATCCTCATTTTACAGTCGAGAAAACGGAGACATGGAGAAGTGATTTGCACAAGGGCACAGCTGGCTAGTGGCCGAGCTGGGATTTGAGCTACGTGGGTTCCGCCGGCATGCCCCTACCTGCCAGGCTAGGGCAGGTCTCCCGGTGCGGCCTCCAGGTCAGCAGCAGCATCACTTGGAGACAGGCTGGGAATTACATTCTCTGGGCAAACCGCAGACCCACTGAGTCAGAGACTCCAGGGCAGGGGTGGACAGTCTGCGCCTTGACAAGCCGTCCAGGCAGATGCGTGCTGTTTCAGTCTGTTTGGGCTGCTATGACAAAAACGCCATGGACTGAGCGGCTCCGAAACGACATTGGTTTCTCATAGTTCTGGAATCTGGGAAATCCCGAATCAAGGTGCGGGCAGATTTGCTGAGGGCCCGCTTCCTGGTTCACGGACAGTCGTCGTCTTGCCGTGTCCTCACAGGGCTTAGAAGAAGGAAGCTGAGCCAAGCTCCCCGGTCTCTTCCTAGGAGACCAGTAATCCCACTGATGAGAGCTTTGCCCTCAAGACCTAATAGTCTATAAAGGCCCTACCTCCTGATTTCATCACATTAGGGATTAGGGTTTTAACACTGCATTTTGGGGGGACACACCATTCACTCTGTCACACACACTGAAGTGTGAGAACCAATGCCCAGATAAAGAAAGGATTGCTCTGCCTAGCCAGGCAGCTTAGGTGGTTAGAGCATCATCCTGATACACCAAGTTGCGGGTTCAATCTCTGGTCAGGGTACATACAAGAATCAACCAGTAAATGCATAAATAAGTGGAACAGCAAAAATTGATGTTTCTCTCTCTCTCTCTCTCCCTCTCTCTAAAATCAATACATAAAGAATTTTAAATTGTTTTAAAAAATAAGCAGCATTGTTCTCTGCCTGGTGCAGAAGCCAGCATGCAGAAGCACAGTCACGTGGATGCATGACTGCCCTCAGACTAGTACGTGCAGCAGAAGAGGAGTGCGTTGGTACGACGCAGGCGCAAAGGAGCGTGCGAGGGAAAAGAAGGTTCTGCTTTTTTGAGCAATGAGAGATTTGTGCTCTGGGTTCAAAGACAGAGGAAGGGCAGCCACTTCCAAAACTGATCGAGTCTATTATTGGTTTTGCTTATCTGGAGTCTGAACAAATAGTTGAAGTGGTTCTGAACATCTCGGCAGGATCCGCATAAGCACTGTAGCTACCCTCGGTCCTGCCCACCTCCTGGCTCTGCGTGTGCCCCCTCACATGCAGTATATTCCTCTTGGAATCGATGGCTACAAAGTAGTCAGAAGAAACATTTTTAAAGTACCTAAGGGATGATGTCCTTTTTTTGCCTAGAAAAGTAATTCAGTCTTAGATGTTAGAAAGGCCGAGTTTTGCGAACAGCACCCATTTTGCCGCCTCCAGCTTTGGGATCCAACAGCAGCGAGCATTGCAAGGCACGGTTATAGCTTGCAGTGACCTCAATGCTTAACCCATCAGGTGAATCATCCCTTAATTTTCAGGGTACGGTGTTTTAGAAATCCTCCCACTAGACTGCCAGGCTAAACAAATTCTTTGCACTTTTCATTTTGCTGGAAACAGGGATTAGACATAAGCAGCACGGGCTGCCTACTCTTTGTAACATCTTCGAAGAGATGGCCCCGATAGGCACCCGTTTCCAATCGCTTAAAAGGCAATAATTCAATTATGCCGCCCTTTATAGAAGGACTGCCATTGCTCTCCATTCACTCCCAGGCCTGACACAAGTAAATCACTTCGATAAAATCCCCTTTTTTTCCTCCCTCCTAGAGACAGGAGTAAGTAATGATACCAGTGGTCTACCAAGGACAAAATGGATTAGTATACTTCTTATAGAAAAGCAAAAATTTCACAAGGCAGTGATGCGTTGTGTGTTTGGAAAGTGATTTTTCTTGTGTGTGTATGTGAAAGCTGCTGAAATGATTTCCAATGAGGGTACTTGTAGAGTGGATACTATGTTCTGCTTTTGAACATCAGTGTGTGGATTGAGCAGTTTCTGCGCCTGGGGTGGGGAGGGGACAACACCTTCGGGAAACACCATCCCCAGCCTGGGCTCACTGATGGTCGTTCCTCAGTGACCACACAGAGAAAAGATATCTGCCAGGGTATCTGAAGCAAGTCCCTTCCTTCCTCATGTGAAAATAACCACGTAATTCTTTTCTAAGTTCATCTTATTAACAGTCTGAATGTGGCTCAGACTAAAGGGACATCAGCTTGCACGTCCTGTTATTAAGGGCTGTCATTTTATTAAGGGTTGCTCAGCTCGCTTGACCTTTTTCTTAATGACCCAGGTTAACCAAAAAGACAGCCAGTCACTGTCTAACAGTGTAGAGAATCAAGTCCTTGATGCAGGGGGTCCAGCATCACCAGAGTGTGGGCAAACAAACTTGGCAAATGGATTAGGACCACTGTCATGCCCAAGTATCCTTTCCATCATTATATGTATTTATATGTATATAACTCCATTTAGTATATTTATTGGTGCCTCTTAGTAAATGACAAAATATTTTCATTTCAACAAGTCTTTTTAAGGGATTTTTAAAAATAGGTTGCACTTTTAAACAAATGATACAAACTCACTTAAGTTGAACATTTTATCTTTTATTATAGATACAACTTTTTAATAGAGCTGAGAAGAACTTTCTAGCCGAGTTCCCAGCTGACTTTAGCTTTTAATCACCGAGGAAAGTCTTCTCTTCTGGATCACATTGTTCTGAACTAAGATCATTCAGGGGGCAGAACCGAACTGGAGAAATGACACTCTGGGACGATAGAACGTTTTTACCTGCTTTAGCTAAACTTCCGCAGTTTATTCACTAATACTCACTGAGGATCTCTCACGTGCCAGGCACTATTTTGGGCAATTCAAATAAATGCCTTATCTCACCGAATCCTTGCGTTCACAGTTCTAATCACTATTCCTGCTTTATTTTATTTTTCTATAGCACTGTCATCATCATCAAATGTGCTGCATACTTTTTTGTTCTCTCTCTCTCTCTTCCCTCCAGCCTCCTCCCATTAGGCGTGGATTATTAAGTTTTGTTTACCGCCACTTCCGCAGTTCCTAGAATAGAGGAGAGTAGGTACTCAACAAATATATATGTTTTCTGGATGAATGAATCGCCCTGTGAGGCGGATTTTTCTTAGACCAGCAGTTCTTTTCTCTTTGTTCGTTGGTAGGGTATTGTCTCTCATAATACTTTATCATTTGTAATTAATTTAGAATAAACAATGCATATGACCAAAGTGTAGCTGGTACTGAGGAATGTATGTTGGGAAGTGTCGATCACACACCCCTCTGCCATTCATTCCTTGCCGAGCCTGCGCCCTGGACTCACGCGGGGAGCTTTCTTTGTCCTTGGTGGTTAATTTGGCATTAGTCTGTAGGCCACAGCTGTTCCAGAGATGTACACTGTAAGCTAACCTGTTACCTATTTGTGCTTTTTGGCAGAAAAATTAAACAAAACTTTTGCTGGCTTTTTTTTTTAAGTTAATTCATTCTTTAGTTTATAGACTTTGTCCCAAGAGAAAAACCACCTTCAAAGACCATGGACCAATTTATTTGGGGGCCTCAGTCCACTAATTTAGGCTACATATGTGTCCTTCCCAAGTTTTGTCATTTTCGGTCTTCAAGCCACAAGGATCTCAGCACCTGTCCCCCGAGCTGTGCATATCTTTGTGTACCCCGTGGGCTCGCCAGCTTCATTAGTTGAACGCTGAGTCTTCTTATGAACAAAGCCATTCTGAACTTTAGCCAACATTTTATCAGATGTTGAGTATCTGGCTTTGTATTTGTTGGGCGATGACGTCAGTGAGAAGGTTCTTTGCAGCGCGTCCCAGGAAAGTCACCCACCCTTTCCCCACAATCAAATGCCATCTTCCTATGATCAGATTTCGTAGCCCTTTGCTCACCTCTTTGTTCCCTGTTCTGTGGGATTTCGGGGGACTCTCCCCGCCCTACCCACTTAGGTTTGCTCGTGTTTGCATGCCCGAAGTTGGGTTTCTGAGATGTCCGCAATGGGATAAATTACATGTGTTGGGACTGTCCCCCTTCCTGGAAGTGGCAGTCTTTTGCCCGAGGAAATGTTACTGACCAGTACATTCTTGGGGAGACCCTGTGTCAAGTCCCTGACGCCCCGCTCACCCGGGATGTGCTGCTCTGTCGCCCAGGGAGAGCGTGGAGAGCCTGATCCAGAAGCATTCCTACGCCCGCTCGCCCATCCGAACCTACGGAGAAGAGGACGTGCTGGGGGACGAGGTGCAGACGGCACCGAGCAGAGGTGAGGTCGCTGCGGCCAGCCGGCCGAGCAGCTGCTGGGAGCCCAAGGCAGGCAGGGAGGCAGCCTTGGCCTCAGAGTACACGTGGCCCCCAAAGTGTCTCAGAAGCCCCTTCAGGAAGGGACGGCTCTGAGGCTCATTTTCACAAAGGTCCTTATTTTGCCCTTGCATCTTCAGTGACGAGGCTGCCCAAAGGTGCCCTGGGGTCTTGTTTTAGAGTAAAAGGACAAGGAGCCTCTGAGTCGGGGCTCAGGAGTTACATGCCTGTGATCCACTAACTTCTGGGCTGTAGGACTTGGGGGGGCAGCCCCCTTAGTCTTTCTGACCCTCAGTTCAGAATCTGCAAAGCTGTGCCACTTAGGTGAGGAATACCTTCTTAGGATGATGACCAAAACTGAAAACACGTTACAGAAGAAGGAATAATGCAGTGGCCTCAGGCATGGGGAGGGGAGCTGGAAGGTCCCCTGTCACAACGGCCCCGGGAAGAGCCCTCTGCACCTGGACGTCCAGACAGAAGACACCAGGGGGTGGCCAAGCTGGGCTCAGGCGTGTCTGTATGGACAGAGAGAGCTCTGTCATATTTTAATGTCCACAATACACAAAGAGTGTAACCAGGCACAACAGAGGACATCTCTGATACCCAAATCCAAATGAGCTCCTAGGAATCATACAGTGGGAAAATTCCACGTCAGCTGTTGTTCCAACTTCTGGATACCACGATGTAAGAAAAGGTTATTTTGTACCTTGTGAAATAGTTAATAATGAAGGATAGAAGCTTAAAGAAGGAAGGAAGGGGGGAGGGGGGAGGGAGGGAAGGAACACTTTTGTGGATTTTCACAATGGCTCTGGAGGCTCCTGTGCCCAGTCTCCCTGCCGGGGAAGCCACAGAGGCTGGCACAGGTGCCAGCCACCTGGACGGAGGTCCTCTACAGGGAGCCAGGCCATTACCTTCGGGTAGGGTACCAGTGCTCCAGCCTCTGTCAGAGTACACAGACCAGCCAATGAGTTAAGTCTTGACTTAGTCAATTCTCTCTTCCACACATGGTGTGAATGATTTTTTATCTGGAAAGGTAGATTTGCCTCAGGGTTGACAGGTTTGTCTTCTTGAATTGCAGATCTACAACATATTTCCTAAAATAAGTTGGTCCTTACAGATCCTGTAAGTCTGGATTTGCCTGTGGAAATAGAACTTCCAGCCTAATGAGCTGCTTCCCCTTTCAGGGTCAGCCTTTACCACCTCCGATAACCTGTCTCTCAGCTCCTGGGTGTCGTCTTCGTCCAGTTTCCCCGGATTCCAGCACCCACAGTCCCTGACTGCTCTCGGTACCAGCACAGCTTCCATCGCAACCCCCATCCCTCACCCCATCCAGGGCTCTCTGCCGCCATACAGCCGACTGGGGATGCCTCTGACGCCCTCCGCCATCGCCAGCCCCATGCAGGGCAGCGGCCCGACCTTCCCGTCCTTCCACATGGCCCGGTACCATCACTACTTTCAGCAGGGGCCCTACGCAGCCATCCAAGGACTGCGCCACTCCTCCGCCGTGATGACGCCGTTTGTATGACTCTTGTAAAATCAGGAGACTCCAATCCAGAATGTGCAAGTGGGTATGGAAACATAGGGTGGCGCTGGGTGGGTGGGATGTGGGGCGTTGGAGCGAGGGCTCTGCAGGAGATGTGGGATCTGAGATCGAGGAGACCTGGACTCACAGGGAAGCCTGCTGCGGAGAGCATGCACCATGGACCAGGATGCATCTGGAGTTGTGGGTGGCTCTTGGGTTCAAGAAAGAATCCATGGAAAGGTCTGAGTCCCGCAACTAACAGGACATCAATGTACCCAGGAAGTTCAATAACATGAGGCAGATGAATCTTAAAGCGCATTACTTCTTGAGGTTAAAAACGTTGTGTCGGTGCAGTAACGTATCAAAAAAAATCAGCGTGTGGGGGTTTTCTTCCTGCTTTCCGCAGGTTTAAAGAATCTTCAAAGAGGCAATACTACGTAACATACCAACCGTAATGCATAATGACTAACTTAAGTCCATTTCTCCCTGTAGAAAACGAGAGCCAATAGGGAAGTACTTGTAGTGCTGTAGCTTACGCATGTTTAGTTCTCCTTTGTATTGCTTTGCTGGGGGAGGAGCTGAGATAATGCTAATGCATCCTATTCCGTGGCTGAACACTTGGTAAAGACTTCACGAGTTCTTTTGGTACTGTTGAAGGGCCAGTTCCTGCCGAGCTCTTTTTCACAGTCTTCCTTCTTCTCTTTCTTGCAATCACTTGCCACGTATGCAGGAAAAATCTTCTCTATACAGTGTTGCAGGAAGAGGCTGTATGTGTTACATGATAAAACCAAGGGTTTATTTTTCTGGGCTGTGTTCTCCATCCACCGCTGGCGTGTCCACTGAGGCACATTCTCGAGCCACTGCACAGGGGCACGCGGGGCTCGCTTCCACCCGCAGCTGCGGTAGAGAGGCGGCTGCCCAGTTCTGAGAGGCATTTCCCAGCCAGGGGTGCCAAAGGCCCCTTCATTTCTACTTCAGCTTTGGGAGACCTGCTGGATGTTCAAGGGCACTAGGCCAAATTCTCATTTTTTGGAAAATCTGCTTTGTTAGATTAGCTGCCCCTGCCACTTGACAAGGATTTGTGAACGACCCCTCTCGGTGCCCACACAGCCACGGTTGCAGCTGTGCTGCTCATGAGGCACCGTATGTCCACATTCCCCATTGTCCTTCTTTCTTCCTGTGACATTCAGTGACTCCTTGACCATTTTCTAGCCTATTATATGAAATGACACATTAACTCAGTGACTCCCTGACCGAAACACTGCTTGTAAGTAAATCTGAACATTTACCCACTTATTTTCAGCTTTTAGTCCCTTTAATGGTGTATGGTAATTAATTATATTTTTGTTATATATAATCTCTATTATTTGGGGGCAACACAGTATATGTAAACATTTACTGCCAGGGTAGTACTTTGGTATTCTGCAAGTTCATTACCCTAACAACAGAAATGTAATGAGCCTTACAGTCCTTGGACTTTACATATAATGCAGTCTAATTGCAGCGATATAACCTGCCCTCTTCACAAAGCTCCCTCAAACGGTTTTAATTTAATTTATATGTTCTGTGTAATACTTGTTTTACTCTGGCTGCAAAAATATTGAATCTGTTAAAAGAGATGGGAAGTACTGCTTCTGAGAGTAGAGGTGTATTTCAGAGTAAATGCAATATACTTATCACAACAGACTCCACTGGGATTTTATTGGGTTGTTTTAATGTTAGGCCTTTCCATATCAAATGCCTTTCTTGGGCTTTTCCAGCTTACAATACAAGGCAAAATGGCGTCACCCGTCGAGGGGATGCTGTGGTCCGACTTTGCCATTGCCATTGCCATTCTGTGCTGTGTCCTGGGGGTTTCATACGGAGAAGCGTGGGCTGCGTGAGCCCAGCAGCTCAAGGTCCTGTGGCAGATGCTGCGGGCCCCTCTACAGCTTCTGGGATGCTGGGCTGCAGCAGGCCCTGGTGGTCTTCCTTCGAACACAGCACAGACGTACATTTCCTTTAAAAGGCAGTGATGAGTAACGTTTAAATATCCAAAGAGCTTGGGAGAGGGATGTAATATTTAATCATTGGCCTATTGCCAGTGCTCCTTTTAAGACAGAGTGTGGCTGCTTAAAGTGGGGATGACAAAAGTAGATGCTGTTTCACGTGGTGCCAGTCGATGCTCCGGGGAACCACTGGTGAACTAAAGTAAATCCAACCTGAATTTTCTTTTCAATGAGAGTGACAGAATCATTTCGATATTTTGTTCCCAATCAGTGTGACTCCAAAGGAGGGTGTGTTTTTTGGTAAATATGATTTCACATCAGCATTTTCTGACTTCATAGCTTTATTTTGTAATTAAGCAATAAGTAGAGTGCTTAGAGAAAAGATGAAGATGTCAAAGCATGCTATTGGGAAATCACACCTGAAATTCTGAATTGGATATATTTTGAAGTATGTGGCTTTATTTGAACCAGAAAGAAAAAAGCACAACTGTGGAGCCCAACCCGATGAGAGTCCCTGCCGCTGAGAGAACCGGGGTAGAAGTTACTCCCTCCCTGCACCCCCTACCCAGTCCTTATGAGCTATTCGGGTTGTTGATTCTTACTTACTTAACTCCTTCAGTATTTAAGATTTAAAACTGTTATGTCTGTCTTACCAAAAGTAATTGCAACAACTAGATAATTAGCAAAAAAAAAAAGCCAAGTGAATAATAAAGAGCATGAGTTATAATACAACAGGAATAAATTCAGGGTTTCCCCGACGTATATCACAGTATCAGCAAGCATGGCTAACACATAGGGTGCTGAAAAGAGCCGCAGGCTCTGCCAGAATAGCTTTGTTCAACCTGAAGAAATGAATTTGTAACTTAGCAGGGCCTATGTGTGTGTTTTTTTACAAGCGTTTATCAATAATTCTAAGTTCTATTATTTCTTTGACTTAGTAAAATCTTCTCCCTTTCCTGCCCACCCTTAGCACTATAAGGATAAGTATATCCAGCTCGTGTGTAACATATCACAAATGGGGAGGCAGCAAGGTCTACGTTAATGAACCCATATGGCGTTGCTGGTCCTTCGGAGCGTGACAGTGCTCTGTGGTCCGGAAGGTCTACCACCATTCCTGGTGGGTGGGCCCAGAGGAGGGGCAATGAGGAAGCTTCCTGGTGACGGTTCTTCATCTGGCAACACTCCTCTTCATCTTCAACACTCCTATGGTACGGGAGTCACACTGATGTCTGGGGTGTTCCAGGGTTTCTCCTCTGCCATTCTCACCCACATCCCTGTCATTGCACAACTCCCATGCCCCTGAAAAGGAAAAAAATAACTCATAAAAGCCCATGAAATAAGTATTCTTAGGAGTAACACATCCTTATCCCTTACTGCCTATAAGTTTTTCAGCAGGATGTTGGGATATTTATCCCAATTCTGAATTTCACATTCACTCTTTAGGCTGTGCTCCTGATATTTGAGCTGAACTATCCTGAGAAAACGAGCCTCCAGTAAAGTGGGTGAAGTGACTACCACCCCATTAAATGCATGGTCAAGTTTAGCCATGACTCAGAAACTAAAGTTCACAATTCAGTTATGTCATTTACAGGATCCCTACTGTGAGGAAAACAGTATTTTCACTCAGTCTTCCATTCACTGAGTAAGGAAAGCTGTGTTCGTTGTTGATCATTATCACAGGTTAAACAGTATTACACCCTCAATCTAGACTGCACAGGCAGCCGATAAACCAGTGGACGGAAGAGCTTTGCAGATGTTTTAGAGACTCACACTTGGATAGACTATGGATTTTAAACATTTCTATATTATTTCAGAATCCAAGGATTTTATGTAAATGAGCAAAGGGAAGGTCATAATCTCTTAAACCTGAGAAAATCAATATCCTTTCTTCACTGCTGTTCATTCCATTCCATTTACCACATATTTCTCCAATACTTAGCTTTCTTCAGCACGCTTCAATGTGCATAGGTTCATTTATAACTCTTTGATAGGCACTATTCCCAAAGCATTTTCTGGCCCTTCTTTCTCTGTCCAAGCCTCAAATACTTCTAATTCCCTCCCCCAATAATAAAATAAAAACATGTTGGTGAGATAATACATCTGGACAAAAAATACAATTTGTTGTATTTTACTTCTGGTACATTAAAATACTGTATTTAGTTGCTTTTTTTTCTTTTTAGTTTCAGAAACCTAAAAGAAGGTCTTTGATTTCCTAAAGGAAAAAAAAACTATATTAGCCTTTTTAGTAGATTCCATCACGGTTCTGTTGTTTGCTGTGTTCATTTGCTTAACAACCTGCGTGCGAGCAGTCACTGTAACGAAGTGTGTGTGTCGGGGGCTGGGGGATGGGCATGGGAAATGTTTTATGAAAAAAGAAGTTATAAGCCTGATACTATGAAGTAACATCTAACGAAGTTCTTTTTAAGTGCAATATATTTATTTCTGCTAGAAATGTATTATCGACATTATGTAATATTTGAAGCATTACCTGTTATTTGTAAACAGCTTAAAATTATATATTACCCAAAATTGTACAGAAGTACAAATGTGTGCATATCAATTTCTTTCATTAAAAATGGTGTGGTTTTGATATATATAGACAAACATTTACACCTTTCATTATGTGACACCATTTGCTCTGTGACTTTTGCTACCTGTTTCCTCACCTGAAATAAAAGAGGGGGACTGAGTAAGGTCAAAGGTCACCACTGGCCACTCCCAGGGCAGACGCAGCCCACTGGATTACTACACAGGGTTTGACCTTGCCTTTGAAAACCCACGGAGAAGATACGGCTCTCAAGTCTCCACTAGTGCCAACTTGTCTGCACCCAGGCCCCTTCACTCACTGACTCCCCGGTGAACAGGCAGAATGCTGGGGCTCATGCAGTGATATGAAGACTCCATAACGCTCAGAGATCTCCTACCTCTCATTCCAGTCCCGAGCTCTTGGATGTGATGTAATGACATTACCCAGCAGGCTGACACAAAACAAGATTAGCCAAATTCAGTCTTCATCCTTCTTCCGCGGGACAGTCCTTCAGCATATCTGACGTTATCATGCCTGCTGCTCTCACAAGTCAGCTCTCTTACCCTTCATTTGTCATGCGTGCCAGACACCATTCTTGTAAAAATCTTCCATGGGAGTAATCTTCAGTGGGAGTTGTTGCAAGAAGAGCATTAGAAAACCCTGCATGCTCTTTACCCAGAATCACCAACCATTAACTTTCTTCCACATTTCTTTTGCCATTTGTGCTCACACTGAATAGTACACACACACACACACACACACACACACACAAATTGTTTTTCCGAACCATTTGAGAGTAAGTTTCACATGCCACGCCCTATTATTCTGAAGTAATTCAAAGGTCTTTCCTATAACAAAGAAGACTCCATGAAATCTCCATGGCAGAGTTAGCAACTTCAGGAAACTTAACAACGGTCTCGTACTGTGATCAGCCATCTGCCCTCCAGTTTTGTCAAATGACAGAGTGATGTCCTTTGTAGCACATTTTTCCTTCAGTACAGACCCAGTTCAGGGTCACATACTGCATTTTGTTATGTTTCTTTAATCTCCCTTATCTGAGATAGTTCTTCAGACTTTCTTTGTCTTTCATGGACAAAAAGTCCTGTTGTTCAATGGCTGATAATTACTACCCTTAGTTATCCTGATGTAATCCCAGATTTGGTCACTGGGAGCCTGCGGCGCTAGCTCCCCTGCACTTATTTTTGAGCACTTCTCCGATTTCTGGCATAACACATTTTCCCAGCCTCATCTGGTTTCTCTTGTGCCCCAGCCCCGGAACCAGCCATTTGTACAAGGAGCCTGGACTCCTTTTTGTTGGGGAACTGTATTAGGAACCAAGATCTGGGTGCAGATGTGCCCAGTGGGGCATGTTCGCTGCCAGGCCCTCTCAGCTCACAGGCAAACACACATTCAAGTATACATATGTGTGCGTGTGCACAAAAGGTCTTAGAAATCACGAATGTATGCCGATATCTCCAATTCCAAGGTGTCCCACAGAGTCCTTCTGCCCTTGCTCTGCTCCTTTCCATATCTGTGTCTGCCTTCTTCCACAGCGAGAACCCCAGCTTCCAACAACATCCACCTATCATTTACTCATCTCTGCCAGACATGCCAGCTGATGTCAGGTCACTTCACTCAAACAACTACTATAAATACACCTACAAACAGGGGATTTGAAGTTGTTTCCCTCTTCAACTCAGCGTCCATGGTTAAATGACATGTTTTTCAGTTACGTGGGTTAGCTCCTTTCTTGTTCTCCTGCCTGGTCATGTCTTTCATTTGCTATACAACTGAGTTCATTTGTTCAGCTTGCTTATAGTTTTAAGGTTCTTTTTTCCTTCTCACTAATTCCTACTGATATTTAAAAAAGAACATTAACATGTTTAAAAAAACTCATAGAACTGATAAGTGTTTGTAGCAAACTTGTAGGATAGAAGGTTAATATACATGAGTCAATTGCTTTCCTAACTATCAGCAATGAACAACTCGAATTTGAAATAAAAATACACCACCACTTACAGGAACACCAAAAAGGGGGAAATGAAATATTAGTGTGTACACAATCTCTATGAGGAAGACTATAAAACTCCGATGAAAGAAATCAAAGGAGATGTAATAAATAAATGGAGAGATTCTTCATTTTTGTGGATATAGGCAGACTCAATATTGTCAACATGCCAGCTCTTCTTCACTTGACCTAGAAATTCAACGCAATCCCGATCAAAATCCCAGCAAGTTTGGTGGCTATCAGCAAACTGGTTCTACAGTTTACACGGAGAGAGAAAAGACCCAGAATATCCAACGCAATCTTGAAGCAGAGCAAAGGTGGAGGACTGCCAGAACCCAACTTCGAAACTTACCACAAAGCTATGATAGTAAAGACAGTCTGATACCGGTGAAGGAATAGAAAAGATGATCAACCAAGCCACAGAGGAAGCCCAGAAAATAAACCCACATAAATACAGTCAACTGATCTCTGAGAAAGGAGCAACAGATCCAGCTGAACAGACACCTCACCAAAGAAGATAAGCAGATGGCGAATGAACATGAAAAGATGCCCAACATCATATGTCACTTGGGAAATGCAAATGAAAACAACAATGAGATAAGGCTATGGGAACGTGGAATTATTGCACAACCTTGTGAATATACTAAAGTCAGTAGATTCTACACTTAAAAGAATGTAAGTTATGGTATGTGACTTACATCTCACTAAAGCTGCTCCTTTAAAATGTTAAAGAAAAAGATATCCTGCAAATCTTTTATTTTCATTCCTTAGGGCCCAACTTGTCAACTTTGAGGACTTCCAGGGGAGTAAATCTTGTGTACTTGCGAGTTAAGAGTCAGTGGTCAAGAGTCTTCTCCCTGCCTCAATTTATTTTAACTGTAAAAAGAAGATAATATTGCCTATTGGATAGTATTGCGTGGCCTTAGGCTCTCAATTTATACAAGTTTGTTTTTATCCCTTTATTTTTTTTCCAGGAAGAATTATAGCTGGTTGTTTGGATTCCCTGGGAATGAAAAAGATACTGTAGATAATCCTTCTCCATCCTGGGCCTTGATTTGGTAATAACTGGTACCTTTCATAAAACACTTATTATATCTCTACACTCTATATACATCATCCTACTCAATGTTTGCAACCACTCTGTGAGGTTTGTGCTATTATCATTCCCGTCTGAAGTATGAGAAAAATGAGGCCGAGAGTGATTAAGGAGCCTACAGGAAGTGGGAAAGCCAGGATCCAAGTCCTGTCTGTCCTTGTAACTAACACACTGCCCTAACCGCTTGCACAAATAGTTCTAAATTCTAAGAATTAAAAAGAAACTTTATCTTGCCTTTTCTTAACTCAGATATACGGCCTTAACTAAGAAACAAAAACTGCATAACTCAACAGTTCTTCTCCTGATGGATTATAAATTGTCACTGGTAAGTGTCTCAAGAAGAGTTTGAACAGATTGCAGAAGAGGATTTTCAAGCTCCCCGTGCACCTCCAGTGGGCGGGCAACATCGATACAGAAGCAGGACTCTGCTGCCCCCAACAACAGTCTCCTGGTCTGGATGTAAACTCTGACTGCTTATCGGTTGTTTATAAAATGTGCATGTGCAAAGACATTTCTTTCAGTGGAGGTCACTGAACTGAAGAAAAATTTCAAAAATATCTTTTAAGATGTGCACACAGACCAATAGGAAAATGCATAGCCACCAAGAAGCACATACCATGGCTCTCCCATTTGGAGAGGACAAAGGTAGAGATACATATTTAAGCAAAAGGGTTTTTTTCATTTTTGTGAATTTATAGGAAATCTTGTAAAAGTATAAACTATAGATCTCATTTGGTTTACCTTTATACAATTTCTTGATTGAAATGAATAACATTACTAAATCAAACTACTCTAAGAGAAATGTTGGATATGTGGTTCAGTCATAGCTAACAAAATTAGGAGATCCTAAGAATTTTGTTACCATCTTTGGGAGTAATGGTGGCAGACCAGAGATGAACGCTGGGATGCCAATTCCAACTCCTTGTACCATAAAAAGGGAAAAAATACATTACTGTAAAAGAAACTGTAAAACAGCACAAATAAAAACCCACTTTTTATGCAGAAGAGTATCAAGTAAAGTGAAATTAGTATTTTAAACTATCAAATTTTAAATTTTGAAAATGATGTTCATTGCACTAGGAGCTTCTTGTTCCATAAAACGAAGCTAGACAGAGATATAACCAGGCTGCTCAAGGGAAATTTATATCTATGTGTTTGTGCAAAGTTCAAACATTTAAATTTGATTAAAAATTATCTGAATCAATTAAAGCAGAGCCATTACTGTATTAAATGGAAAACCACACATCGCCCATGATGAATATCTTCATTACTTTGATACATGAAATATACAAAGTCATTATTTTTATGCAGAGTTATATTTGGAATTTCCCTAAATTTCATATTTAGTAAACTGATTTATTACAACAGTGATTTTTCTGTTTCAAAATGAACTTTAAAACTACCTAAAATATTAAATTCTGATTTACAAGCCATTATTGCCATCTGCTGGTTATATAGTTTCATTGCAATTTTTTTTTTTTTTTTTTGCAAATTACCAATTTTCTTCATTAAAAGGCAAAAGGAAAAACAAGGGTGAATTTTAGATATAGAAGATTGCATTCAAAATCTCTAAGTAAAAGAAATCCATAACTTGCTAAAACATGAGGCATAATCATTTCAAAGAGGATAGGATACTGTGAGGATATGTTTGTATTATACCAAATTGTAATGTATCATTTTAATTCAGTTCATCACAGAATAAGTATCAGGCTTACTATTTTTAAGTTATTGTCATTAATAAGCATATAGCTAAAACATGACTCACACCACTGTCCATTCACAACTAGAGCAAAATAACTGTCCACTCTTGGAGAAGTCATAAAAAATGAAAACACGCCATAATTGTATTCAACCGAACGAAACTAGTGCCACGTTTTCCCTCATAGAAGCGCAAATCTATCTCTCCTTAGCTGGAAAATGCATAATTACTTAGTTTGTCAGCTTCCTGAGTTAACAAATGAAACTAGAACTTACATAACTGTTTAATAATAGAACTAACAAATAACATAATGACAAAAACTTAAGTAATATTCATCACTATACTCTGAATATGACCAATCTAAAGTAAGATACAGGATTTTCATCTTATTTCAATTAGGCATGTACTATGTTTTAGGTGCTTTTTTTTCAGATAAGGAAATAGTAGTTATTAGCTTAAGTCACACACTAGTAAAATATTTAGACTGGAGCCTAACATACAGTTAACTCTGTGTTTAGTATATATCTGAATCATATGCATATATTTTGCTTCTTTTACCTTTAAACTATATCATGAGTATTTTCCTATATCATTACATATTTATTAAAAATGACTTTAGTCAACTTAGTAATGAATGCTGCATTGCACTGAGTGTTCCATGTAACTGTTTGAAGTTGAGGTTATTGCTAGTCTTCAGTGATACAAATAGCCTAGTGAGTCTTCTTATAAAACTACTTTTAAAGGATAAAAACGATCATATTTGCACTTACAGGGGTTTGACCAAGGTAAGACTCCGCTGTATCCTGTTAAGACACTGATTGATCCAAAGTCCATTGGAAACTCCAGGAAACAAACAAATTAATTAAAAAGGGAAACCTTGGAAACCGAGGGAGTGCGCACTTGTGGCTGTGCTGGGGCAGCTGCGCGCGTGCGGAGGGCGCGACGGAGCCGGACTTCACGCCCCGCCCCCAGGTCCCTCGGTCACCCTGACGACCCGGGCCACCCGCAACGGCGGTGGGGCGGAGTCGTTGAGACTCCCAGCCCCCGCGGACTCGACGGACCGCACTGGGCCCGCGCCGCGGAGAGACCCAGGTCCACCCGAATAGGGATTATGAGAAAATGGTCGGGCAAAGGAGGAATAAGCCCAGAGAAGCGGCTTCGGAGCCGCTGCATTCTCCGCGCTGCGCGCAGGCGAGGCGGCGGCGTCGGGCCGCCGGGGCCGGGGAGCCGCTGCTGGAGGAGGAGCCGCGGGAAGAAGCGGAAAAGCCGCAGCTGTCCAGGGCTGTAGGCTGCGGGCGCCTGCCGGGGGGCTCCCGGCCCTGCTCTCCGCGGAGGGCCCGAAAACCGAAGGGGCAGAACTGCATGCAAATGGAACTGGTCGCAAAGACCCTGTTTCTCCGCCGCTTCCAATTCTTCAACTCTTTCCTGGAGCAACTGCGCGACAAGGTGCATCTATTGCGGAGGCCTCAGTTCTCCTTCCGGACAACCGTAGGCGTAGGTGAGCGCAACAGGCTCCAGAGAGCCCTTGGGTTTGAAGTGGTTTGGAGGAATGGCAGCCTAACAGCAGTAAAGATGAGGTCCGAGCTCTACAGAATCGCTGGCAAGAATCCCCAGTCCCCTTCGTTCTTGTGTTAACACATTTTCCAGGGTTTTGGGGCAAGGCACCAACAAAATATTTTAACCGGGGCATCTCCGTTTATATCACAGGTTGTGAAAATGAGAGCTTAGCGCTTGAGATGCAGATATTGTTAATTAAGGGTTAATTAAGGGAATTAAAGGCGTCCGTTTGAAAAGCTGTGGAAAACAGGAGAGAGAGTTATTCTTTGATGGGAGGGAATAGAAAAGTAAGGATTACCGCACAAAGAAACATTGAAGTGGGCATAAGAGACGTTTGCGATGCTTTTGTCAAATCATCGTTTCAGTCAGGTATAAGGCCGGGTCACTTTTAGAGGTGAAGTTGGTTGACAGAACACAGGGCACCCGGAGACTTGGTTTTTCTCATGCCTTCTGCATTTAGACCGTTGGCATTAGTACTCCTTACATTTTACCAGGTGTGGAATGTGGGGCACTGGGAGAGGCTGAGAGGCACAGAATATTTTGAGGATTTTTTGAAAACTAGGTGGATTTAGTGGGATATTTTTATTTTTTCCCTCTTCCCTAAATATAACTTAAGAGTTTTCATCAGTATATATAATTGTTGGGAGAATAAGAAAGGATACAAATGTAGTTGAATAGGACAGTGTATTTTAAAGTCATCGTATCAGAGGGGCATCTGTTTCAAGTTGACAAAGAAGATACAGGTTTAATTTCAAAGTGGTTCAGAGTATATTATATATTGGTAGGAAGAGTTACCATATCTAGTGAATGGGTTTTTTTTTTTTTCTGTAAAGAGCCAGTTAGTAAATATTTTAAGCTTCAGAGACCACCTGCCATCTCCATTGTATATTCTTCTTCCTTATTTTTGCAGCCTTAAAAAAGTGTAACAGCCACTTTTAGCTAGTGGACAAGAAGAGACAGTGGGCTGTAGTTTGCTGTTCACGGTGTAAAACAATGAAATCTTCTGAGAAGTATTGAACAGTTGTAGGAATGAGCTCAGGGTGGTTGGGAATATGGAAAAAGACCTGGAGAAGCGTGATTGGGAGTCTTTGACATTGCAGTGTTTATTATTATTGTTATTATTATTATTATTGAGTTATTGATTAACTTGCTGTTACTTTGTTAGCTGAGTTATTTTTGAATTTTTAAGGGGTTAATGTTGGTGGTGTGAGAAATAACTTGCCAAGTACATTTTGGGACAACCATAAGAAATATTGGGGTGGCCAAAAAGTCTGTTTAGTTTTTCTGTGAAATAAAAGACACATTTTCACCAGTAACTTAATTGATTTGGATATTTGAGTATGTTGGCTATCTCCTGCTATTGGCTTCTAGTGGGTAGACGGCATGCAGCTAAACATCTTCCAGTGCATAAGACAGCCCACAGCAAAGAATTATTTGGCCAAAATGTCAACAGTACAAGAAACTTCGCAAACCACTTTGACACATTCGATCAGTCTCAGCACTGAACAAATCTTTTTTTGAATTTCAGTTGTGTTTTTATCAGTAATTTTCCTCACTCTTTTGAAATAATAAAGCATAGTATGCCCAAAATATTGCATATTTTCTTCCATCTCTAATATTAAAACGGCTGCACAAAATTCACCAACTTTGATAAGCTTTTTAAATGCACACTGCTATGACAGCTGTCACAATACAGTGTTACAAAATTGTTTCACCTGAAGTTAAAGACAACTAAGTGCTACTTAAGAGCCATCGTGTGGAAAAAACTGAACGAACTTTTGGGCCAACCTGGTACTATTATAAAATCTTGGAGGGGAGACAGGACATCAGGAATAACTAAATAAATTCACTCCCCTGTGACAGTAACAAAAATACTTGAAATATTATGGAAGCAGTTTTTTCAGATCTTTGGAAATTAACCAAAGGTTTACATCAATCTAGAGTGCATTTATTCAAGAAAAATGACCGAAACTCTGTAAGAACAGTGGGGTTGGTGGTGTTTTCAGCTGGCCTCCTCCCATCCCTTTTCCCCAGCTCCACGATGTCCTTGAAAGTAGACAGTGTCTCTGCTACCAGAAGGGACAAACAGTGTTTGGAGCACCTCAAAAAGCCTATCCCCACAGCTGCTTCCCAGTCTCTCCAGTCTGGCAGCTCCCTAATGAAGCCCCCTTCCTAGGACATGGGCGTGGGGACCCCAGATGATCCTCCTGGGCATGGAGTCTGGGAGCTGTCAATGCTCAGTGAGGGCTGGAGTGGCCTTCAAGGGGTTTGTGGAGCAGGGCTGCTGAAGAAGCTTTTCCCTGCGTTGCCACATTGTGATGAGCCTGGGACAGTGGGTTCCAGTGGCTTCTGTGGCTGGAGTCACTGCTGAAAGGACCGAGCTGGTCAGACTGTGTATATGTGATTCTTTTTAAAACTTAATGTACAGAAGCAGAAAGTAACAGAGGTAATAAGAGAGAGGGAAACTGAAAAATCACAGAAAGGTCTAAAAATCATCAGTAATTTCCTCACTCTTTTGCAAATTGCATCAGTGGTCCTGCACGTCTCTCCCTTTGCTCCTCTTGTGCCCCCTGCAGAGGTAAGCGCTAGCCACAATTCATTTTATGAGCTTCTGGAATGTTTCCTGTGTCGCCCAGACAGGATTAGCCAGCCACCTGGCCTGTGCGTGCTCTCTGTAGACACATAAGGGGGTACATTTGAAAGAGTTATATAAAGGGTGTGTTAGAATTACCATCACGCATAATTAAGCAGCTTTTAACCACTTTTTTCTTTTTCTTTTTCCAGCTGCCTTTATGGGAGTTTTGCACTGGTAAGATTAGCTTCAGTCTGAAATAAATAAAAGCACTTGAATTAAAAGTTACCATCACTGTTTGCATACAATAAAACCATGGCCTCTTGGCATGAGTAGAGAGCATCTGTACGTGAGTCTGTATCAGCAGACACATACAGATTACTTTAGAAAGAGCCTCATGCAGAAGCAGCAATTACAAAATGGGTGCATTAGGGGAATAGTAACTTATGCCTTAAAATAATTTTGCTTTACCAAAGGATTCACTACTGTATTTCTTAAAAATCTAGATTTCCTAGTGTTCTTTGCTTATTTATTTCCTCTAAAAAACTACCTCACTTTACAGTAAAGTTACGTTACTTGACAGAAGCTTAGAAATAAAGCTTAGTAATAACTGGCACTTGGAAATCAGGTGGAAATGAAGCCAGAGACTGCAGTCACAGTACAGAGTTAAATGAGCCTTCAGCACACATGTGCCTCACTTTACACAAGTGATTTTTTTGTTAAAAAATATATGTAAAATTATACTACTTTTTCCCTTACCTATTTCATCTCTGCCTGAGCCCAGGGATTTCTCTTGGGAAGAATGGGTTCTGCCCCACCGCCTTGGGGACAGCACTGTTCTGGCCATTTGGTCTGCAGGGAGACTGTGGTGTTAGAACTAAGGCTGTGGTGGTAAGTGTTCCCTGCAGCTGTTGGCCCCCGGCCTTTGTCCCACATGTAAATGGAGGTGAGTGGGAGCCGGGCTGTTCCTTCAGCTTCACTGGAAGCACCTGCACGCAGATGAAGGGCAGCAGCCGGCTCCCTTCACTGACTGTGCTCTTCCCACTGGCGTCTCTCTTCACTGCCCGCAGCTGTTTTTCACAGTTGCACTAATGAAACATCTTGAAGTACAGCCCTGTGTTGACGCTTGAAAGCCGATTCCTTGTATGGAATAAGCCTTACTTATAATTGCTTTAATATCAAGTAGTTCTATTTAAAATTATATTCTGAATGCTTTTCTGCGGTTACAGAGGCATTTCCCAGACTTGGTACATTCGAAGGCCTTGGGGAGCTTTACAAATGAGCCAGAAGTTACCTCTGTTCTGACTTAGGGGCCGCAGTTAAAGAAGTTCAGTTGTGTGTACAGCACCAGACTATAAATGCCCGAAAATATACACGGTAGAGAGCAAATTATAAAGTTATCTCAGTGTTGATTATTAAGATTTATTTTCTTTCTTCTTCATGGTTTTTGTACTTTGTTTATCTGTAACTTGGTTATTTTACAGCTTGTTTGAGACATGTTCTTGTTATAAAATGGTGCTTTATTTTTTTTTTCTAGGATACATTTAGTAACACTTTTTGAAAACGATCGCCATTTTTCTCACCTCTCATCTTTGGAACGGGAGATGACTTTTCGCACTGAAATGGTTAGGTTCCTTCTTCTAGTGAATTGATGTGTAGTATAGTAATATTAAGACTATAGGGTGGACATTTAAGAACTGAAATGCATTTTCGGTGACCTGTGCTGTTCCTCTGAATCTTCCCCTCACAGCCCTTTGGAAGCTTTGAAGAATTGGCTACATTAGCATTTGTATGACATTCAAAGTTTTAATATTTTATAGGTATTATTTCAAAGGAAGGATAAGAATGTTATTAAATAAAGAGTGTAGGAGTGGCAGAGCACTGGATTCAGATGTTGGGTCTGTGCATCCTTGAGTGACAGCCATTCAGTTGACTTCCCTCACTCTCAGTCACCTTGTCTGTGAATGAGAAATAAGGCCAGACTTACAGGGCTTTATGGAAAATGAAGGGAGATAGTGGGTGAAGCACGAAGCACCGCACCTGGCACAAAAGCCATAGCTGCTATTAACCCTTGCTGGTGTGCCTCAGTGGTTGAATGCCAGCTTGTGAACCAAAGGGTTGCCAGTTCGATTCCCAGTCAGGGCACATGCCTGGGTTGCAGGCCAGGTCCCCAGTAGGGGGCACACGAGAGGCAACCATACACTGATCTTTCTCTCCCACTCTTTTTCTCTCCCTTCCCCTCTCTAAAAACAATAAATAAAATCCTTTTCAAAAAGCCATAGCTGCTATTAACGAAAACCTACATATTTATTTTCTCTATCAATGTTGCCTTATGCATGTTAGGTGTCCTGTCATTGTAGCAGTGCCCCTGGCCCCCTTAAGCAGAGATAAAACTCCCTGTCTGAACTCGTATGTTGCCAGTCCCAGCCGTGAGGACGTGCTCTCTCGGACGTCAGCCGAACACATCTTCAGGGCAGCAGCCACTGCTGTTGCTTACTCTCCCCAGGATGATGTGGTTGTGGAGGCCGAGTGAGTGGAGAGTGGAAGATCATTTTTAATGTTTTTTGGGGGAGAGCGTATTACAAACAATGTGGCCCTTCACTAGCTTGTATTTTTTTCTTTTTATCGAATGTATTGGGGTGACGCTGTAACAAAATTACACAGGCTTCAGGTGCATAATTCCACAACACACCATTTGAACACCGTGTTGTGTGTTCATCCCAAGTCTCCATCCTTCACCATTTATTCCCCCCCACGCCCCCCTTCACCGCTTGTCAGCCCCCACTCTGCCTGCTTTTAGATTTTAGGAAGGAAAGCAGGAAATCAATGGGGGAAGTAATATGAAACAACGCACTCCCGTTCATCTTTGACTTGTAACTAGCCCGGGAAAGTCGCCGTTTCATGTGCCGGAGTCATGCACTCAGCTAACCCCCCTTCTCAGGAGAGAGCATCTGTGTCTTGAGCGGCAGTCAGCTGGCCTGTGGTCAGTGAAGGACTTTGTGCCGAGATATTAGGTGGAGCCAGGAAGTAAGTTGAAAGCATCAGGTTCCATCTGATGGTGTTTATGGTCATTTATGTTAGTTCATAAAGAGCTGGGAGGAAAGAGTGGAGGTAAAGTCAGGCATGGTAGAAATAAAAATACATTGTATACATATTTTAAGGTGTGGTTGGCAAAGCTCCTTAAAACATTTAACCACCCTCCAGTGCTTCTTCAAACCTACAGGACCTATTACTAAAGAATAGTACTGCAATAACCTAAAGAATGCAGTAGTAGCCAGGAAAAATTAAGTCTTCTTATTAACCCTTTCCTACTGAAAAATTGCTCTAAAAGGAGTTGTAGAAATAATTTTTTGCACATTTTACTTACATTGACAATTTGTGCCTCTTGAAGGGACTTTATTACTCCTACTTCAAGACCATTATCGAAGCACCTTCATTTTTGGAAGGACTGTGGATGATTATGAACGACAGGCTCACCGAGTATCCCCTCGTCATTAACACGGTGAAACGCTTCCACCTTTACCCAGAGGTGAGTGGACCCGGGGCCAGCTGGAGTGATTCATTTTACTAGAGAAAATAGCAAGTGAACAAATGATGTTATTAAAAGGAGGGACCTTTAAGGTTTATTGATTGTATGGGTCCTTACAGTTGGGCAGAGTATCAAAAGTTCCCCTGCTGAATTTGTGTTAATTTGCACTCCCCTTATTATCGGTAGAGTTAAGAATGTTTCCATGTTTACCAAACATTTGGATTTATTCTATCAATAACCTATATAAATATTTGTCACCTACTTGATGGTTGCTTTCCTACTCATTTGTTGGAGTAATTTGTGTATTTTATAGCATAATCCCTAGAGATACGTGCCGACATATTTTCTCTTGATCTGGCTGCTTTCCCTCCATCAGCTCTGTTGAGGTAGAACTCACATGCAGTAAAATACACCATTTTGAGTATACAGTGCTTTGAGTTATACATTTGACAGATGTGTAAGACTGTATAACCAAACCACAATTGAGTTATAAAACATGAAAATAATGCCAGAAAGTTCCCAGGTGCTTCTTTGTGGTGACTATCCTTTCCCTGTTGAATTGTCTTGGCATGTATGTTGAAAATTGATTGAGTATATTACGTATGAATCTGCTTCTGGATTCTCTACCACTTTGTTGTTCTGCATGTCTGTATTTACGCCGGTACCACACTGCTTTGATGACTGTAGCTTTACAATAAAATTTAAAGTAAGGTAGTTCTCCAACTTTGTTTCTCCTTTTCAAAATTATTTTTCTATGTAAGTGTTAGAGTCAGTTTATCAGTTTCTCCAAAACTCTTACTGAGATTTTTATTGGGATTGCATTGGATTTATACATCTGCATGGGAAGAATTGACATCTTAATGCTGAATCTTCCCATCTGTGATGATGGGATAGATCTCCATTTTCTTCATGGTTTTTTCCCAGCAGTGTTTTGTATTTTCAGCATACAGTTTTCTATAAGCACTATTTTACTGTTGTAAATGCTATTCTTTTTAAATTTTAGTTTCTCATGTTTTGTTGCTTTTGTATAGAAATTACAGTTAATTTTGAATATTGAGCTAGCACCTACATGTTGATGAAGTGACTTAATTACAGGAAGTTTTATAGATATTCCTTACTCTGTAATATAGAACTTTAGTTTATATTGTGTGCATGTATAATTTTAAAATGATTGTTTCCCAAGTAAAATGATTTAAATAAATCTGTCAAAGTTTATAATGTCAAAGGCAACCATCACGAAATGGTATTTTGGAAAAGTTACTGTGAAGATAATGTACTTTCCTTCACTCTCTCTTTTCATTTTTATCTTTTGCAGGTGATTCTAGCCTTCTTGTATCGCACATTGGTGGGAATAATGAACTTATTTGGGCTAGAAACTAAGACCTGCTGGAATGTTACCAGAGTAGAACCTCTAAATGAAGTTCAAAGCTGTGAAGGCATGTTTTTTCCTACACTGCTGCTGGGTTGTCATTAATGTTTGCATAAACAGCTTATACTGTTAGGACCAAGAATTATTGTGAACTAGGGATTGATTTTCTTAAAACACAACTGGTTCACATAAAAGTATTTACCTTTACAGCAATTTTCTGACAAGGCTATATACTTATATGAGTATTAATTTAGAATTTGGGTATAATGTACACCAGTGTATGGCAATCCTGACTATAAGTTTTGGGGTAGCTTGAATATATAAATGTGAGGATAAATTAGTCAAATATTTACCTGTAATAGTTAATGGAAATATAAAACCAGATATGCAACAAAAGACTGATTTAGAAAAACTTCACATTCTTTATATATACTACCTTGTATATTGGTATCTTAGACAAAGAACCAATTTGGGATCAGTTAACAGTTTTCCAGCATCTGTATTTGTTACTACTACTTATAAGATTTGCAGTTTAGCACTTTTACAATCTAAGTATGATGCTCTCCCTTGAGACTGCTATTTGAAGTCACATATGTCTACTTGCATAGCATTTACAGAGTTGGTGTTATCTTTATTTCTTCACATTCTCCACAACATGAACACAGTATATCTTATAAGTATATTTTTATAGACTTGTTTGCAATAACATTCAAGTCTCAGAATATATGAGGTCTCTCCGGAAGGTATCCAGCCATGTAATATAAAAAATAGACATTTATGGAAGAAAATAGAAGATACAAAAATCATTGTACATAGGACAATGATGCTTTATTCCCCTTCAAAGTAGGTACCTTGGGATGTCACACAGTTCTCCCAATTGCCATCAGCTGCCCCGTTGTATTTTCCTGAATCTCATCAACAATCTGAAATCTCTTCCCTTTCAAAGATGATTTTAATTTGGGAAAAGCCAGAAGTCACAAGGCACCAAATCTGGGCTGTAAGGGGGCCGAGTCACCCGGGGATTTTATATTTCACTGAAAAACACTGCACGAGACATGATGGATAAGCAGGCGAGTTTCATAATGAAGCTGCCAATCGCTAGTTACCCATAGCTGTGACCTTCTGAATCATCAGAATAGTTTCCACAGAGGAATGTTTAAGCTTTGTGCAAAATTTGATGCAGATTCATTGCTGTACTTGCTTAGTCATTTTGAATGTGACGGCCACACAGTACACATGCACACTCAACAGCATCTACCGTCCCCACGGACTATTACAGTGAAGTCTTCACTGTTCACGCATGAGAATTCCAGTCCACTGTCCTTGGCTGCCAGGTAACATCGATGTTGCACAAACCATTCCTGGCTGGACTTTTTCTGGATAGACCTCACATTCCAAATCTGTATTTCCCTACATTTTTTCTAGTCCTTTAGGTGATCTTTATAACTTCTAAAATAACATCGATAGAGGATTTTGAAACATAATTAGGTTTTTCTTAGCAAAATAAAGGAACGGAGGAAATGCCTCATAAAATGAGAGACTCTGTAATGACTCAGTCAGCTTAGAAAGGATAGCCTTTTCTGAGAGATGGGGAAAAGCCACAGTATGTATATACATTTATGATATTTACTAAGTTGCCACTGGGTGACAAGTTAGTGTCAGGCCTTAGGATCCCGAGGTGCGACAGCCAACTTGGCACCTTGCCCTCCCAGCACTAATAGCTGTGATTGACATTCCCTACAGGGAAGCAAGTTTGCCCTGGGCCAGAGTAGGGGGAAGTATTTCAGGAGCAAGGACAGCATGGTCCAAACTCCTGAGGCAACAGAGGACTGAAAGAGGGGCTTCCCAGAGCAGAGAGATGGAGAAGAAAGAATGGCGGGACACGGGGTGGGCCTGTCTGTGAGCAAGGGTCAGGAGGCGGAGGGCCGGCTGATGACCAAGGACTCTGTACTTTACTCTTTGAAGCATTCTAACAGGTTTGCATTTTAAAAACCACTATTTTGGCAGTTGTATGGAAAAGGTAATTAGTAAAGGACAACAGTGGGCTCACTGAGACCAGGCAGGAAAGGGAACTGAGAAATGCACGGATTTGAAAAGGATGTTGGAAGCTGATGTGACAGGATTTGGTAATTGGTTGATGGGAAAGGGGAAGGAGAGAGAAGTCGTGTGAGTGTTTGGTCTCCACTTAGTCGAGTCCCTTTGAACGGTGACAGACGTCAGTGAAGCGCAGGTTTGAATTGCTGCCTCAGGTGTGGACACCTGAGAGGCCGCAGAGTGGAGAGGTGGAGTGTCTGTACCTGCAGGTAGACGTAGGGCCACGAGAGGAGGTTGTGGGCTGGCAGCAGCCATGGAGTCACCCGTGTGGAGATGACACCTGGAGCCACAGAAGCAGAAGAACTTCCTTAAGGAAAGTACAGACTGAGGCATGTGACAGAGCCCCAGTGTCCAAGGGGGCAGCGTGCAGGAAGAGAGGCTGGTGGGGCAGACGGGGAGGAGAGGTCAGGGAAGTGGGGGTGAGCACGGCCAGCCTCCAGGCCGTGGCACCACCAAAAACTTTGAAAACCAAATAACTTTACATTTTTTGTGTTCTGTTTGCCCAACCATTCAAAGTTATCTTCATACCAAGTAATCTCGCAGATTTGTTCTGAGGACCGTGTGACAGGAAGATTGTAAGCACCTCGTAGAAGACCACGCACGCTTTAATATATTTTACACGTGTCCATCTGCCTCTCCAGCGACCTGGTCTGGTGCATGGGGTGTGTTGTATGGGAAGGTTTAAGGTTTGGGCTGTACGTCATAATGGATGGAATGACTAGATTATCTCACACCGGCAAAGCTGTTCCTCGGGGTCAGAGCCCATGTCTTACCCTTCCTAGAACCAAGCCAAAGATCATAATGCAATGGATTTTCTCTCGCAACTCATCAAGTGACTCACAGGCAGTTCTAGATACTAAGCAATAGCAGCATCTCCTATATGGGAGGCACCAACTATTTCAGTATAGTGATACTTAATCAGGGGAAGGTATAAACGTAACTGCAAGAAAGTATAAAATCTGAGTGTAACTGATAGTATCTCGTGTAAGGGGAAAGTACTGATGTAACTATTAAATGGAGCAGTTGTCTGCGAAGCAAATGCTTTCAGTAAACTCATGAGCGCTTATGTCCTATTACTTTATAATCATTCATTAAATACTGAATAATCTGTGTCTTTTTAAAGGAATGGGAGACCCTGCTTGCTTTTATGTTGGTATGATTTTTATTTTAAATGGAATGATGATGGCGTTGTTCTTCATATATGGTGCGTATCTGAGGTAAGACTACAGATTGGAAGATCTTTTAGTGGCCTTATAAGGACTGGCTGGCATTTGTTGATTGTATGAAAAGGACAATTAATGAGATTAATTGCATATTGGTAGGAACACTTTTAGATCTCCTGTACTTTTTTCAGAAGCCTGTCCAGCGTCACTTGTCCTCCAACTAGAGCTGTCACACTAACACCACAAAGGCCTTCCTTCTATTCTTGTGGGGAGTTTGTTTGTTACCTAAGATTCCTTAATAAATTTTAATGAAGACATCCCTGGGTCGTGTGTGACATTACTGTCAGGGAGGCAGTCTTTAGTTGGCGTTAGCAGCTCAGAGCCTCTCATTTCAGTCTCTGTCGTGTGAAATTAAGAGAGCAGTGAGGAGACTGTATATCACTCACAGCAGACACACACGCGACAGCCTGCCTGTCCCGGTCACCCCACTGTGCAGCCCAGTCGGGGGTAGCAGTGTGCTTGGTCACGGGTGGTAGGTTGAAGTCAACTATGACAGGCATGTACAGTTGACCCTGGAACAACGCAGGGGTCAAAGGTGCCACTTACCACCCCCTGCCCCCTCACAGTTAAAAATTCATGTATAACTTTAACTCCCCCAAAACTTAACTACTAACAGCCTACTGTTGACCAGAAGCCTACTAATAACACAAACGGTTGCTTAATATATATTTTGTATGTCCTATATATTAGCTGCATTTTTATAATAAAGTAAGACAGAGAAAAGAAAGTGTTATTTAGAAAATCTTGAGGAATAGTTAAATACATTTACAGTATTGACTGAAAAAATTCCACGTAAAAGTGGACCCTCACGGTTCAAACCTTCATGGTTCAGGGGTCGACTGTTGTCTGCTTCTCACTATCCAGTGAACCTGGGATGAACCTTTGAGCTTTTTCAGTGAAAAATAAGGTGAAATCCACCATGGTTACACCTAGGAAAGCATTTGTCTTCCTCACGAAAGGATGGACTCAGCTGCCCCTTCTCTGTTTCGTCCTGCATTCACTGGGATGTGATGCCTGGGGCTGCTGCAGTCACATTGCAGCCATGAGGGGAAGCCCATGAAGTTAGCACACGTGTCTGCACTCACAGCTCCACACTGCAGACTGGGGATGACAGCCATGTGTTTCGTGGTCCTGTTGGCTTAGTTGGCACACATCCATATTGGAAGCCACTTCTGTCAGGTGTTTGGTGTCTGACAGCAGAACACGTCCCTAACTAAGTCATCATCCTCCTTTACAATGAACTGCACGACGTTTAATGTTAAATATCTAGATTTAATCTTTAAATAGTATTTATTGTTTTCATAGGGTTTTTGTCTAGGTACAGGTTAGTATCTATACACCCCTGGTTTTAGGAAGTTTTCAGTATAAAAATACTAGCATAGAATCAATGAAAAATATATACAACATTGTACCATATATCCTATTCAACATAGTAAGTTAAGGAAAAGTAGTAAGTACAGGATTGGAAAGCTTGAAAAAAAGAAACAAGTATCCTTATAAGCAGATCACATGATTTTATATAGGAAAATCCAGAAAAATCCATGGGTAAAGTACTAAAATAAGAAAGTTTATGATGTTATTGGAAACAAAATTAATACACGTATATTGTAAATCTATAGCATCAAAAAATGAAATTTTAAAAGGATTCCATTTAGAATAGTCTTGAAAAAGAAATTTTTAAGAATAAATTTAGCAAAAACTATATATGATCTCTTTTGGAAAATTATAAAGCTTTGAGAGACATTTAGGAATATTTAAATAAATGGAGACGTGTGCCATATTCATGGGTTGGAAGACTCAAAGTGACAAGATTATTCCCATTGATTTATAGATTCAGTGCAGTGCCAGTTTTGTTAACCTTGCTAAACTGTGAAATTCTTCAGAAATGTGAAAGGCCCACCTACCACAGTTGACGAGGGCGGGACCAGTTGCTTTATTAACTGGGTCCCTGTGATAAAGCTAATGTAACAGGGCAGTGTGGCACCGGCATGGGGGCGTAGCATCAGAAGCAAGCAGAGCCCAGAGGCAGAAATGTACGATGAAAGACCCCTGATGGGCAGGTCAGTGGGCACAGACAGGGGTCTCATAAGGGGCAGGGACTGAGAGATTGTGGAGAAAAAGAGAGAAGTTGGGGCTATATGAAATATAAAGTCTATTTGGATTAAAGTCTCAAATACAAAAGACAAAATTGCAAAATGTTGAGAATGTTACATAGGAGAATATCATCAGGAACTTGGGATAAGAAAGAATTTCTTAAATAAGGTGTGAAAGTTTAGCCACAAAGGGAAAACTGATAAATTTTATTTAAAAATTTTAAGTTTCTTTAGACATTTTAGAATGAAAAGATAAGCCACAAACTGGGAAAGATATTACCAAGCATATACCCAACATAGTATCCAGACATTACATTAATTAATTTGATAAATTTTTATTGAATGCCTAGATATTCAATAGCCAAGACCGAAGGCACTATTTTAGGTGCTGGAATTAAAAAAGGCAATGTCTGTCCTCATGGAGTTTATGTTCTAGTGGACAAAATGATATACAACCCAATAGAAAAATGGACAAAATATTTATGAACATATATTTCCCAGAAGAAGAATCCAAATTACCAAACAAAATATGTAAAGTTGACCACCATTATTAATTACTGATATCAGGAAAACACAAATTTAAACTACAATGAGCTATGATTTTACATCCACTAGATTGGTAAAAGGAGCTTTTACCCATAGCAGGTGGATATATGAATTAGTACAGCTGTTTTGGAAAAACAGTGCACATTACCTAGTAAAGTTGAAGGTGTAGATCACTCAGCAATTCCCATTTAAAGTGTGTATATCCAAGACGCCCTGGCACGTGTACACCAGGAGATAGTATGTACAAGAATATAGCAGCATTGTTTGTAATAGTTCCAAACTGGAGACAATGCAAATGTCCGTCGGCAGAGGGATGTGCACGCCATGGTTTAATGCAGTGGAATCTGTCCAACGGGGGGAGGAGTGAGCTGTAGCTGCCCACATCAACACGAGCAAATCTTACAATGCTGAGTGAGTGAAGGCAGGCACAGGATAAAAAGAAATCCTGTACACTTTCATTTGTACGAAGTTTAAAAACAGACTAAATGATAGTATGATACGTGTGTAGAAGTGGCTGTATTGGTCATCACAAAAATGAGGACAGTGGCTGTCTCAAGGGGTGGCAGGTGGGGGCTTGGGTGAGATCAGTTTTCTATCTCAGTGCCGTGGTTACCAGGATGTTCACTTTATATCATTCCATGAACTGTCTAGAAATTTTATGTGCTTTTAGATATGTATATCATACAGGCAAAATATATTTAAGCCCATCACAGTATTACTTCATTACTTTATGGTGTTGGGCTTAAAAAACATTCTATTTTAGAAAATACTTTGCAGAGCTTATGCTGTTTTAAATGCAGGAAGTGTTTCACAGGAGTAAAACTTTGTAAAAGTACCACTTTGCATTGCTAGAGCAGCCCCAGAGGCACCCTCTTCTCTGAATTGGTTACATAGTGCTGGAGTGTCAGATGAGGCCTCGGGCATTGAGGAGGGTGTGTAGACAGAGCACACAGTCACTGTAGAAGGTCACGGAAACCGTGAGGATGCTGAATGGCACGTGAGAAACAAGAGGAGACTGGGGGGAGTGTGCGTGTTTCTGCTGCAGCCGAGTAGGGGCCCTCTTCATGGCCCGTGAGTGGTTAACGATATAGTTAACACGCACATCTAACTTTATCGAGTCCAAAGTTAATTGATATTTTCCCTGTTCTGATCAGTACAGGGAATTTTAGAATGCTTTGCTTCACCACAGCTTCTTGCATCTTGCGACTGTTACCACAGTTCAGTACTCCGATTGCCCCTCCCCTGTTGTCATTATTCTCTGTGCTTTATTTTGTTATTTTGGTTGTCAAACCTTGGATGTATGCACACGGTTCCGGTTTCCAGATGCAGTACTGTTTCCCCCCCCCAGACATTCCCTCTCTCTATTCCTTACTTTTCGAAGTGCATCCTTCCAATTTCCTTTTGTGAAAATTTATTAATGATAAATCATTTCCCATTTGCTTTCCTCTACTTATTTTTTTTAACTAGTCCTTCCTTTTTAAATCATCCAGCCAAGACTTACTATCTTCCGTGTGTGGAGCTGTGGCTGTGAGTGATGAACAGCGTACAAAGAAAAGGCAACTTTAAGAAACGGTTCTTAGCCTTTGAGGGTTGTCCTTGATCTAAGTCTCGTTTTCTACATTGTTGTTTCTCTGGGGCTCAAGGAAAGAATATTGCAGTAGTTTAGACAGTTTAAAGTCACTACTAAATGGGACTGTTAGACTCTTGTTTTCATCCCTTCATCAAAAGAGAAAAATTTGCCTCCATTCTGAATATTCAGAAAATGTAACATAGATTCTGAAGTGCTGGCTTGTTTGTTAAATATTATGTTCACACCTTATGTATTTTATTTAGAAAATATAATGTAAAAATCAGATCATTTTATATGTCCATTTTATATGCTTGCACATTCAAGATTAAGACGTCAAAAACATGGGTACTTTTGAAGTGTTTACGACTATTTCATATGGTTTAGTACTATGACATTTTAAATTCTAAGATAATTTTGTGAAAAACTCTATAGTTTGCATGGATTGTGATCGTGTGCTTTTTTTTACAGCGGGACTCATCTTGGAGGTCTAATCACAGTATTATGCTGCTTTTTCAACCATGGAGAGGTTCGTTTTCTAGAAAATAATTGTTAAATAGAAGGGACTATATAGGAACAAGGAAATATATTCATCAAAACAATATATAATTGCGTATTACTTAGGACTTCGCAATATTTTAAAGAACCTTGTAAGTTGCTATTTAATCACGTTGATCTGCAGTTTTGCATAATAATTAGAATTAATGACAAAATATCTTGCATGGTTTCTTCTGTATAGATTCATTCATGTGCATCTATTTTATAGAAAAAGGAAACACTGTGCTTGTTGAGTTCAGCACTGGGAAATGGTCGTTACCCGCACAGGAGCTACAAAATGGAAATTTAGGTTAAGTTACGTATCCAAGATTTCACATTCACTACACAGTGAAGCTGGGTTTCCCATTCACAGCTGTCTGACCCAGGGGCGTCCAAACTTTTGGCGTCTCTGGGCCACACCAGAAAAAGAACAGTGGTCTTGGGCCACTCATTAAACACACAGACACTAACGAAAACTGATGAGCAACAAAACGGTTTTAAGTAAACTTACGCTTTTGTGTTGGGCCACATTCGTAGCCGTGCTAGGACCTATGCAGCCCATGAGTCCAGATTGGACCCCCTGCTCATAAAACTTCATTCCTTCTATTACATTAACCTGCCGTTTCAATACTTCAAAATGCTGAATCAAAATAGAAGCCAACTAACTAATTCAGCCCAACAGGACATGGGCCACCTAAAAAAAGTCCTTAGAAACTTATGTATAATGGGATAAGTTCACCCAGCAAAACCCTGAGCACGTACCGTGTACCAGGCTCTGTCACACACTGAGGAACCGGCAGTGAGACGTGAGAGAATCTGCTAGTTCATGGAGCGAGGCCTGTCGGGTGTTATGGCACAGCTTGTATGTGGGCTGATCTTTCTTCATGCCTGTTGGGGGAGGCAGATACTTGGTTAATTTAGAAAAACCTGTTAGACGAAGGAGTCATAAAAATTACAGATAGCTGCATTAACTCAGAGCAAACAAATGCCCTCTCATCTCCAGCGTGTCCATGTGGAGGCGAGATGTAGTCTCCGAGCGTGCTGGACGGCTGGCATTACGACTTTCTGAGCCAGGCCACAAAGCCAGAATCTTCCAGGGTTCATAATTTTGGTTTCTTGGAAGAGGAGCAGTAACTTTTAAGACTCTTGCAAGGTTACAAGAAATTAGATGTTTTCTATAACTTTAGAATTTTTGATATAAAACTTTTATAATATTGTCCATATGTCTTAAAACAGTTTTAAAGTCTATTTAAATGTAATGAATACTTTTATTATGTACATCATATGAGTGATTTCCAGTTGTTTTTAGAAATGTATAGTTAACTTTTTAACAGGCATATTTCACAGATTCAGAGATGATCTTAATTACTCGTAATGTGTATCTATAGCTCATTAACCTTGTTATATGCAAACTCCCTGGATGTCTGTGAGTTCACTCGGTGACACGTGTTAGATATTTTCCTGAGTACGTACCCCTCTCCTTACCTGGGGACTCCCGGGCCACACCACAGAACGTGGGTCTGTTTTCCAGCCCTGGGTTCCGGCTCCTGTACCTGCCCTCCTGCTTGTCCTTCCTGACAGTCTTCCCTGGTTTCTGGGCATGCTCAGTGAGGGCTCTCTGCTGGGTGCCCGTCAAGAAAGCTCCCCAAACCCAGAAGCTCCCCAGGCGCTCAGCAGTGAACAAGCCTACTATTAAAATGCTGAGAACCAGCCCATATGTGATTCTGAGATGAGCAGTGTGTATTGCATTGGGATGTGAGCAGTAAGCATCTTACTGATTTCAGGCCACCCGTGTGATGTGGACCCCACCTCTCCGGGAGAGTTTTTCTTACCCGTTCCTCGTGCTTCAGATGTTCATTTTAACTTTGATTCTCAGGTAATTTTCATCAGTAAAACAAATCTACATAACTTTTAAGCTAAGTTTCTTAAAAATGTACTTCCACCTATTGTTAAAATTCAAATTTAGGTGCCATTTTTAAATTACTTTTAAAATAAATTGAATATCCATTTGAGAAAATAATCTAAAATACTATGTAAATTTTTTTTGCCACCTGAGAGTCTAGGCTACAGGTGTTAGAGAACTACATTATGTTTTAGTAAATCAGAATTTAAGGTTTCATGTATCTTTGGTAAAGATTCAAAGGTGTTTAAGAAACTATTACATTTTTCCCTCAAAGATTATGTAATCCGATCCCTTATTTTCCCACCTGTGGTTTGAGTGAATATTCATGTACATCCCAAGACAGGAGTGTGCTATGCACAGATGACTTGGGGAGATGCCAGGTTAGATAGATAGGAAATAGTCATGTAGTCATGAAATATTCATATATTCACAAAAATTTCTTGACTGATGTTTGTAGCAGTTCAATCAGAATTTGACCTCAGTTGCTTTTCTTGGACAGTTTTATTTGGAATTAATTTTATAAGCCTTACATATTTTAAGAGGTCTGAGGAACAGCAACTACAAAAACACGCAGAATACTGTAAATAACTTGGCCGTAGAAATGTTCCCTAATCGTCAGCGGCCCTCTCAGTGGGTGCAGTAGTGGTCACACCCCTGGAACTCCTGGGAACCCGCTTCTTCCCTTCCTCCCATGCCTACCAGAGTCTGCCTGTGTCGAAATCTTTTGTGTACATGTTTTGTCTTTCTTAGAACTGTGAATTTGTTAACCAAACGTACACACACGCATGCGGCTGCCTGCACACTCACCATGTTAAAATTCCACCCGAGGCGGGAACCCCACTGCGCTGCTCTCCTTCACCACAGAGCGGTGTGCCCACTGTCCGCTGACAGTGAGGCGCTGACCCATTCATCAGTTTACCACAGGGGGCAAGTGGCAGCCCGGTGGCCCCCACCCTGAGAGTGGTGCAGACTGACTCCCGGCTCCTGGCCTGTGGGACACATTCATTTTGGATTGAGTTGGGAGCTGGGAATCGGCTCTCCCCCCAGATTTCTCTGTCTTTGCTCTGCCCATGACTTTTTCTCAAAGATTATGATGGAGGAAGCTGCCCGTTTATCCTGCTTCTTTGTACGGAAACTCTGAAGAAGGTGGTTTACTTCCCATTTTTATTTTTGGGGGGTGATATTAGTCTGATCAGTCAGGGGTTATATGGAATGAAATGTGTTCATTGGACTATTTAGGATTGTACCCTCGAGTGCATGTGCTAAACCCTGTACCTTTGCCCAAAGTAATTTTTGTTTGAGAGATGTAAGAAAATTGAGTGCTTAATGAAGATTATGTTGTGATAATATGAATAAACAATGTGAGCATTTAAAATCTTGCTTTTGAAAACTCATGTACCATAATACAAGGAGTCATCACAATCCAGTACAGCCTTCACAAAAAGAACAGTTACAGTTTTATCACTTAGACAAAAATATTTGCATGTGTTCTTTCATATTCTAAAATGTACTAAAGTCTTCCCTGGTAAAAGCTGTTAGTGACTGATGTACCTTATAATTGTAGAATGAGCAGCTTAACTTTAATAGGCAGGAGTTTGTGTTCCAGAATTATTCTTTTTAAAATCATCTTAATTTCTCTCTTTAAAATTCCCTCATGGTCGCTAATTCATTGCTTCACCAGCACTTAGACTTTCACTTTCCTGCACTTCTTATTAAAACAACACAGTGGCAGCACAGGGAAGGCCTCGCCCCCCTCCTGGGCCAGCACCCAGGGAGCGAGCCCTGTCCCCTGCCTCTCCCCGACCTCGCCGCAGGGGGCGCCACTCTTCCACTGCTGGACTGGGTCAGGGGACAGTGAACTTTTATGTTTGAAATATCTCACTGATAAACTAGGCGCGATGTTTCCTTTAAAGCTCCAATTTTCATTATTTTATGCCAAGCATCTTTACAATCCAAGTAGTAGTTTAAAGTTCTTTCTAATAAGCATTTAAAAGTTAGTGATACTTTGCTGCCTTACATCAGAGGTGAGGGAACCACTAGACTTGGTCATCTTGCAGCTCCTCTCTCTGTAAGAGGCTCTTTTCCTGGTAAAACTTACAGCTGTCCATTCTCCCCATCAAGGACCTCGAACAACAGCAGGAGGCATTTCATGGCGCTGGGCCTTGCCAACGTCGCTTTCATGCTGCCTTGGCAGTTTGCGCAGTTTATACTCTTTACCCAGGTGAGGTGACTTTAAACTAATTTGAGTTGACTGCGAGATGCACTTTGTTGTTTCCATATAAGTTTTAAAGTGTGATTATGTTTGTGTCCTAATAGATTTTTAAAATATGGGATAATTATGAAGTTTACATACATGTGTGATTTTTTAAAAAAATAATTAAAAACCATATATCCTACAGTCTATTAATGTATTGCTTAGTTTGGCGGACACTAATGATCAACACGCAAAAGCCTTTTTTCTGTTATTTTAATTCATATCTTTTCTTGTTGGTATTTAAAATGAGTTCTGTAAATCTGCCTGTAGGTTTTCCTTTTGCCTTAGGAATTATTTTGGGTGCCAAGCTACCCAACATAGTGGGGGCCAACCCTATTCTTCACAGTAGAGGGTTTCTGCTTCTAATGTAGCTTAATTATTGGCAGTTTTGTTCGAAGAGCTGAGTCTCACCAGACACCATTTCTCCACTTGGTAATCGTGACATTTTTGAGTGGATAGAGGCAGTACCCTGTTTCCCCCAAAGAACTCAGTAATTGGTGGCAAGAAACTGAGCTGGGGAAGCAGAGGGTAAAAAGTTGATTATGATGCTTTTCCATGATACTAACATTTTTCAGGAGGGCTCCTTTCTGCCTAATGAATAAACAGGGTCAATAATAATGTCCTTTAATAGGAGTGAGAGACCCTACCAAGGAGCCTGTGCCACCAGTTGTCTACAAAGAGTGACATTAAAACCTCAACTTAATCGGTGCTGTGGAGTTAAAGCATGTTTCAAATATTCTCTCTACTCCCTGTGAGTTGGCCCTTTCAGGCCCTAACACAGAAAGTCCATGGTTTTCAATATTTGCACCTGCCAACATAGTAGCATAGATTTCCCATGTGCATCACTTCCTTGCAGGCAAATTTATTAATCCAGTGATGCTGATGAAACTATTTAAGTAGCTCTTTTGGTAATTTTGATATTGCCTGAATGATTGCCTAACCATTCCGAAGATGCACTATGTTTTCAGTGTCCTTTTAATTGCGATGTGATTAACATCACATTTTGTAAGTTTAAGGTGCACAATGTGTTGACTTGATACATTGTGACTTGATACATTGCGGTGTGATCACCACCTTATTACCACTACAGTATTAGTCAGCTCCTCTGTCAAGTTGTGTAATTATTTTTTGTGGGGGGAGGGTGAGCGCATTTAAGATCTACTGACTTGGCAACTTCAAAGTATATAATACAGTATTGATTGTAATCAGTATGCTGGGCATTAGATCTCCAGAATTTCTTCATCCAGTTGCAAGTCTGTACCTTAAATCGACAGATAACTCTGGTATCTCCTCACCTCCCGGCCCCTGGTGCCCACCATTCTGCTCTCTTCCTACCAGTCAGGCTGTCTCGATTCCACAGATAGACCGTCCAGTGTGTGTCTGTCCTTGTCTGCCTGTCTTCACGCAGTCCTCCAGGTCCACTGTGTTGTCAGCGTCCTCTTTTCTCACCTGAATAATATGGCTTCAGCCTAATTCCTTTACTCATTTCGGAGATGTGAAGTAGGCTGTGTTGGGTCTTTACACTGTATACTCCACATCTCTCGTGTTCTTCCATGTATTTTTTACTGCGTTGCCACTTATGCTTCCTCCTAGATGTTTTCTCTTGTCCTGTCTTTCAGTTTCTTGCATCTTTGTTTTATATCATCTTTGACTTCTTCATATTGGTTTTTCTGATAGTGGTATATTTTCCATTTCTTTTTACGTGGCTTTCAGGATGCTCCTGGAATTTTCAATCCTACCTGTTACCTCCTTGCGCATATCAAACATAAGCCTCTGTCTGATGATGCCAGACACATTTTTGAGTAATTTGCAAGCTAAAAGTGGTTTTTACATTTTAAAAGTGTTATTTATTCAAAAAAAAAAGGAAGAAAAAATTTAGCAGGTCCTCAAATATCATCATTTTGTTCAATATTCTTTTGTTATACCATTGATGAGATTTCATAAGAACGCAACTCTTTTTTTTATATCAGTTAGCCTATGGTAAAATTGTTTTCATATAGTATGTTTTGCTAAAAGTTGCTTAACTTTCTCACTATGGTAAGTGAGAACTTACTATGCACAATTGAGACTATACGTGGCCCACAAAGTGTATACTGTCTGACACTTGAACTAGATTCTTTGTGGATCTGTTTCTATTGTGTTTATAATAATGTCTCTTCCTATATCTATTTAATTCTGATGTGGTGTTGGACATTGCACACGAATAATGATATAGTTAATTTGAGGCCATGTTGCTATTAACATCTTCTAGAGAAGATTAAATGTGTTGCCAGCAGGCAAATACAGTCACTAACAACCTTGACTCATCGAGATAATTCAAAGGTGGCTTTCATCTTTCTGAGGACTGTTTGGTTTCTGCTTCTCTCTTTCCTCATAGCCCTTTGAAGCCCCAAGTCAAAGCCTGAGGACGTAGCAGGGGCCCCATTCTGCGCGTGCCCTCCCTGCCGAGTCTGCAGACACTCTCCACTACCCCCCTCACTGGCAGGCACCTGCTGCTATTGGAACGGGCAGACACCTGGGGAGAAAAGTGACCTAAAACGTCATGCCCTTCACTGCACATTTCCATCTTTCTCTGGTCTTGGCTTCCTAATTCTTTTCTGCCTTGATAGTGATCTGTGGCTTGCGTGCAGGTCTTTTCTCAGCTATTCTAGTTCCCGGTGAGAAGACGGGTTGAAATTACTTAGGTGTCATTATTAGAAATGTAACTCCTCTTGCATTTACTTTGCTTCTGAATAGTGAAGTATCTGTTTTCTACATGTTTTTCACTTTGGTTTTTAATATTTTTATTTCAGATAGCCTCGCTATTTCCTATGTATGTTGTGGGGTACATTGAGCCAAATAAATTCAAGAAGATCATTTATGTGAACATGGTAACACTTTTCATATTTATAAGTCCAACATTAAAATAAGATATTGGGGTTGCCTGCTTTCAAGTTGTTTTAATACATGTGATTTTGATACTATCCAGAAGGAAAACAGGAAGTGTACATTATAGATACCATATTATAACATACTTCCAACTACAGTGTAGGTGTTTTTTCTCTCTGAAACTTTTATTTTTATATTTTATTTATTAGTAGTCACTACTTTTGAAACTGTCTTTTCCCTGAGACCTGACATTTCTAACACTATGCGTGAATGTGACACACGGTGAATTTTATGTTTTTGTATTTTTGTTTTTAATCTTAGTTTCCAAACACATCTATCCCCCTAAGAACATAAAATAAATATCTTCTAGCTAAGAACATAAAATAAAGCTTCCTTCATGATAGAAATCCTCAAGTAGTTCAACAAAAAATAAGATTAAAAGATTCATACTTACAGCTAAGTTTTTTTTTATCATGTAACTCCATTATGGAATCAATAAAAATGATAGTTTTTCCCATTTTCTTTGTACCAAGTAGCAGATAGAGAAAAAAATTAAGTTTTCCTAGGTAGAATTTATGGTGTTGAAAATACTTAGAACCTATCAGTGTGTTGAAATTCTATTATCATTTGGCCAAGATCTATTTATTAATCTTATTTATGCATATCAAGTTTGTATTAGAATGGCTATATGCCTGTTGAAAAAATCTGCATTATGCTATACATCTAATGATGATAAAATGTGTTTCCTTTCTTCAATTTTTAGATTTCAGTCCTCCTTTGTTTTGTATTGATGTTTGGAAATCCAATGTATTTATCTTCTTACTATTCTTCATCTTTGTTAATGACATGGGTAAGTATTGTTAAGCTCATTTATATTTTGGTGTTTTTTTTTAACCTGTGAAATAGAAGGTTTAGCCCACTGGCTCAAGGTTTAGGAGAACAAATAGGGCCCTTTCCTGGTTATCACTCACATGAAAAAGTTTTTCCCAAGTAATGCCTATTCCCTCTCCAACCCTTGGCAAGTAACATGGTACAAAGTTTACCGTTTTAAGGCAGCACTCAAGTAAATATTTAAAAAAACAATTAGGTGGTGACAAGATTTACTTTTAAAATATGCAAAAACTCCTGATAAAAATTAGTTATTTCCTCCTAAGTCACTTTGGTAGGCTAAGTGCCCATGGCAGGGACACTGCCACTGCCGAGATGCATTTTTGGAGGTCCTATGAGATGCCTTCACAGGCTGTGGTGCATTCTTTTGAATATCTTCATGGGCGACAAAACTTCCTCTTTCGAGGGTGGATTTGATTTTCGGGAACAACCACAGTCTTGTGAAAAAGGTGGGTGATTGGGCTGGGTAATGCATAGATCTGGGTCAAAATACGGCGTGGCATTGAAGTGATGAAACCTATTTTCTGCACCAGTAACTGAGTCACCTTTGAAGGAAGTTTAGGAAATGGAGCTCCAAACTACTCTGAGCAATGGTAGCGTAATTAGAATAAGTGCACTGTTTTCTCATGTGACTTACTGTCATCGAATAACAAACACTCATTTGGATATGCATGTGGAACGGTGGTTCAGTAAATTGGTTTTATCACTTTACAGTCACGCTTCTGATACCCATGAGCCAGAACCTGTCACGTTCTCCTCCACTGAGCGCTCCTGGGATGTGCTCTTCCACAGTTACCAGACGTGGTGCCAAGCACAGCGACACCAAACAGAGCACTTTTCCATGCATGGTGCATTGACCCACTCTTTGAGATTGTTCTTATATTGTAACATTCTTGTTCCCCACATCTTTTTTCCCCTCACAATAAGTAGTCCCTTCTCTTTCTCATCCCCCCCCAAAAAAACATCGCCTGTGCAATTTCAGTTTTGTTGAACTTTCTCAGCATGACAAGGTAGAGGACTTGTAATAGCGTGCTCATCCACCTCTCCTAGGAAACCAATTTTATTTTGAAATACAGACACACAGAAAACCTCATAAAGCAAATGTGAGTGTTAACACACAGACAGTATTAACTAAAACTGACAAGTGCTGGTTAATGAGCTGTTAGTTGGCAAATACACTTAAATGACCATCAATCCCAGTCAGAACTTTCCCAGCCACCCCTCCCCATTATAATCCCTTTCCGCTGCTCTGAAGCGGTAGTGACCTGTGTGTGGTAGTCGCTCCCCACCTTCCTGTATGGTTGGATCACTGAAGTTCCCATTTCGTCTGTAGGTGGCCTACCTCCTGCCTGCTTTCTTTCCCAGAAAATGTGTGTGTTGGAGAGCCTAGGTCACTGAACATGTAGAGGATCACATGACCTAGATTTGACTCTTTGAATCCTCATGCTGTAGCCTGACATCCCCCTGTGTCTTCTGGACTTGTGATATGTTAATAATTGAATCTACAGCTTGGACAGATGAAGGTTGATCCATTTGGCACAGTATCGTCCTTTTACCAGGAGAAACCTAACACCAGCACCTCTCTTCCTACGCTAGCAGCCGCCATGGCTTAGTACCAGACTCATTCGTGTGATAGGGATCAAAAAATGGCGACATCCCAACCCTCCTTTACAGTGAACAGAGGAAAAATAAAGTACATGTCTGAATTAGGGGAGCCGGGGAGAGCTGGAAAAATATTTGAGGAAATAATGGCCAAAATTTTCCTAATTTGTTGAAAATTATTAACTCAGAAAGAATTTCAGTAAATCCCAAATACAAGAAAGCTGTAGTCAGGCATATTATAGTCAGATTGCTCAAAATCAGTGATAAAGGTACAATAGTAATAACAGTCAAAGAAATAAGACAAGTTAAATATATATAGAAGAACAAAAGGTAAGGATGTTAGCTAGGTTTTCATAAGAAAAAAATACAAACAATATGACAATTAAGCAACAACTTCAAAACATTTAAAGAAAAAGCACTGTTGGACAAAGGTGTAGTGATTGCTAGCAGGTGGGGTATAAATGCACTAAATGGTGATAGAAAAAATAAAAGTTAAAAAAGAAGAAAAAAATGCTATTTATCTACAATTTTTTTAATTTTTATTTTATCGATTATGCCATTACAGTTGTTCTATTCCCCCCTTCATTCCCCTCCACCCTGCACCTCCCCACCCCCACCATTCCCTCCTTTAGTTTATGACCATGTGTCTTAAGTTCTTTAGATTCTATATTTCCCATACTATTCTTGCCCTTCCCCTATCTATTTTCTACCTACCATCTATGCTACTTATTTTCTGTACCTTCTCTCCCCTTCTCCTCCTCCTACTCCCTTGTTGCTAACCCTCCATGAGATCTTCATTTCTATGTTTCTGCTCCTGATCTAGCTGTCCTTTTAGTTTGCTTTTGTTTTAGATGTGGTTGTTAATAACTGTGCGTTTGCTGTCCTTTCACTGTTCATCTTTTTTATCTTCTTTTTCATAGATAAGTCCCTTTAATATTTCATATAATAAGGGCTTGATGATGATGAACTCCTTGAATTTGATCTTATTTGAGAAGCACTTTATCTGCCCTTCCATTCTAAATGAAAGTTTTGCTGGATAGAGTAATCTTGGTTGTAGGTCTTTGGATTTCATGACTTGGAATACCTCTTTCCAGCCTCTTCTTGCCTGGAAGGTCTCTTTTGAGAAATCCACTGACAGTCTGATGGGAACTCCTTTGTAGGTGACTGTCCCCTTATCTCTTGCTGCTTCTAGGACTCTCTCCTTCATTTAAATCTTGGCTAATGTAATGATGATGTGCCTTGGTGTGTTTCTTCTTGGGTCCAACTTCTCTGGGACTCTCTGAGCTTCCTGGATTTCCTGGAAGTCTATTGCCTTTGCCAGATTGGGGAAATTCTCCTTTATTTGTTCACATAAGTTTTCCACTGGTGGCTGTTCCTTTCCCCCTTCTGGTACCCCTATAATTTGGATGTTGGAGCGTTTAAAGATGTCCTGGAGGTTCCTAAACCTCTCCTCATTTTTTTGAATTCTTGTTTCTTCATATTTTCCTGTTTGGTCATTTTTTTCTTCCTTCTGGTTTACTCCCTTGATTTGAGTCCCAGTTTCCTTTCCATTACTATTGGTTTCCTGTGCAGTTCCCTTCATTTCAATTAGTTTAACCTTCATATGTCCCTGTAATTTGTGACTAAAATCAACCAGTTCTGTGAGCATCCTGATCACCAGTGTTTTGAACTGTGCATCTGAAAGTTTTGTTATTTCTTTGTCACTTAGAGTTATGGGCTCTGGGGCTTTGAGATCTTCTTGAGCCATTTTTGGTCTATTTGTGCCCATTAAGTATGAGGAGTGGAGCCTTAGGGGTGGGGCGGGGCCACCAGGGCGGGGTCACTGGGTTGTGATGCTGTATGTGGTGGCGGGGTCAGAGTGAGGAAAAGGCAGCCCCCCTCTGCTGCCTCCCGCCACTGGGGCCTGCTCTGTCCTGTCTCACTGCCCATTCCCTCGCCCGTCTATCTGTGCAGGAATGCGCCACCACAGTCAACCCACTGCCCTGCACCCTCGCTGGGTCCGCCAGTCGCTCCCTGGGTCGCTCCCTGGGTCTGCCCTTTGCAACCCCATGCCTGGGTTCCACACGCCTGAGTCGGTCTGACCGAGTTTTCCTGTGCAACCCTTCTCTGCCAGCTGCTGGCTTCGCCCCTCTTACTGGTCAAGCTGAAGAATTCATTGTTATCGGACTTCCGAAAAGTTCAATTTTCTGTGTTCTGGCTGTGTTTTCTGTTGCTAATATTTTGATGTCTCTAAACTTGGTTGTGTGAGAAAGCAGGCGTCTCCACCTATGCCTCCATCTTGGTGGAAGTCTGAGAAGTTCTTATCCACAATTCTATAACTCGCAAACTACAGCTCAGAGATGAAGGCAAAATAAAGACTTCATGAGGGCATGCTAACTGACAGGAATGGTAAAGGAGGGCCTGCAGGCGGAAGGAACAAATATACTACATGGGCATGTCCGTGCGGTGCTGTACAAATGAAGCTCTGTGAGTGGGAGCTGGAGGTGCGGCCGGGACAAAACTGCCGCAGACTGTGAGCGTCTCCCTCCTGGTACCAGAGGTTGGGAAGTGCATGCTCCAGGTGCCAGCCGATTTGGTTCTCGGCGAGGGCTCTCCTCTGCATTTATAAGCAGATGCCCTCACTGTGTTCACATGTGTGGAGAGAGAGATCATCTCTCTCCTGTGAGTTCTCATGTCTCTCCTTATAAAGGCATCACTGTGAATAATGCACACTTTTCTTACCCAAATTCATGAGAGGAAAGTGAGGATGCACATTATACAAGGGTAGTACTAATTCCCATTGTGTAATGTGAATTCTCCCATGTGTGATGCAAATTATACATGGAAGTAGCATTAAGACCTGGCGGTGCATTATGCATGGCAAAATATGGTAATTCCATTCATTAGGGATTTAATTACCTCAAAGTTCATACCTCCAGCGTGTCACATGGGAGATGAGGGTTTTGATACGTGAATTTGGTGGGGAACATAAGCATTTCTTTGACAGCACTGAGCATGTGTATGTTTCTCAGGATGCAGCTCCATGCAGAAGTCTCAGTTTCGGTTTCTTGCCTCTCAGGGTTCGGAGCCCGTCCCTTCTCACACAAGCACACAGCTGCCACCCCTTCCCGCTGCCCTCTTCTAACACTGCCGCAGGTGCCCTCCTGGCTAATGTTCCAGTTTTTAAAATCGCCATTTTGGGTCTGGCATCTGCAAAGTTCCTTTTCTCCCTTGAAAGTTCAGTTAGGTTTTTAGAAAAAAAATTAAAAATATTTTACGTGGGAGTTTGGAAAGGAGGGTTTCCCATTAGCTCGAGGCACTGACCTTGCTGGACAGCGTCCATGCCCACTTGCATGGACACGCCACCCACACACCACCTACCTTGTCAGAGGAGTCGTCCTGCACGTAAAACTCCCAGGGGGTGCAGGGAGGGATTGACTTGAGTCCAGAGGCAACTTTCAGTGCACAAAGCATTTAGCTCTCACCCCAAGAAAATTTTGTGTTCCAATTTTGAAAAGTCAGCAATTAACAAGTAAAATGGTTGGTGATAAGGAAGATGGAATGAGGAATGGCTGTGTAGTTTTTGAAACTTCTAATTCATATAAAATATGAATGTTAACTTTATTCATCTCATTTTGTGTTGTGCATTTTAGGTGGTAATTCTGAAGAGAAATAACATTCAAAGATTGGGAGTGTCTGAACTCAACTTTTGGGTAAGAGTCAACATTTTTAATGCAATTTCTTCAGACTCTTTATTTCTATAAACTGAATAAGATAACATACTTAAAAATTGAATGATTTAGAGTTAATAAATTTTATTACTATCTACTTGCTTAAGGTGGGAAGTAGTCCTTAGCAACATCTACAAGTCATTTTTAAGAAAATTGTTGTTTGTCCTGACTGGTTTGGCTCAGTGGGTTGGGCACCATCACCCAGACTGAAAGGACTGTGGTTCAATTCCTGGTCGGGACACAGCCTGGGTTGTGGGCCAGGTCCCCAGGTGGGGACGTGTGAGAGGTACCTGATCGATGTTTCTCCTTCATGTTGATGTTTCTCTCCCTCCCTGCCTCCCTTCCCCTCTCTCTAAAAATAATCAGTGAATTTTTTTAAAGACACTTCTTGATTTATTTCAATACTGCCCTCCATCTTTCTTCCTTTACTGTTCATTCTGCTGCACACCCACTGCCTTGCTTTTAAAATTTCTACTTTCTTGAGTTTCTCTCTATAGACTCTCTTCTCTTCAAAATATACATGGCAAAAATAAGTTGCTAGTTCTGTTCCCGCTTTTCCCTTTGATTTTTCTCCACATCTGTCTATTATCTCTTTCCTTCTGCTTCCAACTTTAAACTCAAGTATTTTTGTCCTTTTAGCATTTCTTTACAATCTCCCAGCCTCTTCTTATTTCAACTTAGACACTGTTTAATCTTTTTTTGACTTCCTGCCAAATATACACATGGATGGCCCATGTGCCTTCCAGGTTTGCGTGTTTTGTTTCCCGGGTAAATAAGTGTCCTATTAAGTAGGCACTGCAGTTCCTAATTATCACACTACCAGCAGGTGGCATCCATCTTTCTCTCTGATGTACTTCTATTAAAAAATATAACCTGCCACATCGAAGAACTATGTGATTGTATATTACATATTGAGAGGGTAAAACTGTGAACATTATAGTAAGATAAGAAAGTACATTTACACTCAGAATACAAAACAACCAAATGAAAGGTATCGCCAGTCTCATTGCTTGAGGCAATCTCTCATCCCTTACAGAACATGTGAAAAACATATGCACACTTAAGTCATTGGATGTCATGACTCTTCTGATATGTGATTTTCTTTTACTTCAGAGAAAATAGTAATGGTTGTGTCTAAAAGATTAAATCAAGAAATCAACAGAAGATTTGAAGATTTTTATTTAATAACGGTACTCAAAATAAATTGAAAATTTCAATCACAAACTATTAAAAAAGGACAACGAATAGGACAGTGTCCATAGACATTCAGAGAATTCCATCAAAGCTGTTCTCAGGCAAATTTATTGTTTTAAACATTTTCGGATTTAGACTAGAAAGAATGGAAGTTAACCTCAGGTTTCATTTCAATAATTTCCAGAGACAAAATTCTAAGGAAAGAAGAGTTGAAATATAATAAATGTTCAGCTTATATTTATATTTTGAAACTTGTATAATTCTCTTGCAAAAAGGAGAAACCAATAATGGTAGTCATCTGAACAGTGCAGTGGATATCCTGGCTGTTTATAGTGTCAGTCGCTGTTCTTGTTTTAGAGAAGACAGTCAAAAGGAAAAGCAGAGATTTTTTGAACTAACACTTCTTCTTACAAACAAAAACCCATTTTATTTCTCAAGTAATTCTTTAATGGTAGTGGCCTAAAGGTTATATTGCATATCTTACTTTATTATAACTAAAATGTTGAAAACAAGGAAGTTATTATTTTTATATTGAATGACAAGAAAATATACACAGAAGAATTGTCACTCATAATTGACCAAAATCTGTTTTTTAAAGAGTTTATTTATTTTTTTAAAAAGATTTTACTTATTTATATTTAGAAAGAGATGAAGGGAAGGAGAAAGAAGAAGAGAAACAATAATGTGTGGCTGCCTCTCACATAAGATCCCCCTGGGGACCTGGCCCACAACCCAGGCATGTGCCTGACTGGGAATTGAACTGGTGACCCTTTGGTTTGCCGACCCTTTGGGCCAGCACTCAATCCACTAAGCCAAACCAGTCAGGGCTGGTTTTTTTTTAATTTTTTTTTCAAGAGAGGGGAAATGAGGAAGAAAGAGAGGGAGAGAAACATCAATGGGTTGCCTCTGCACACCCCCAAGTGGGGATGGGGACCTGGCCCTCAACCCAGACATGTTCCTGGACTGGAAATTGAACCAGCGACCTTTCAGCCTCTACAACAAGGTCCAACCCACTGAGCTACACTGGTCAGACCCAAAATCTGTTTTTAATATTCTTTACCATGATGTGGCAACTTGGAAAAAATATTAGCAACTCAAGAACAGGTAGATATATCTCCTTAGTCTGATCAAATTGGGTTCATTCCATACAGGCTAAGTTTCACACTAACAGATTAAAAAAGGAAAAAAACACATGACCATCTCATTACATGCAGAAAATGAATTTTATAAAATTAAACCCCCATTTATTAAGCACCGTAGGAACAGCAGGGAATTTTCTTCATTTAATAAAAAATTCTTCAGCATTCACTGGCCCTATAGGTCAGGTATTTGGAGTGTTCTATTTAAAATAAAAATCAAGATAAATGTTTTTTCACTTTTCATTAAAGGTTTGAGTGAGCACATTAAAGCAAGAAAGTAAACAGTAGTAGGAAGGAAATGGAAAGGAAGAATCAGAAGTCATTATAACATCATTATTTACATAGAAAACACTCAATAACTTTTCTTAGAAATTGTAAGAATTCAATAGCATGGCCAGATAAAAGATTAATATACAAAAGTCAATTATATTTCTATTTTCTGGCAACAAAGAGAAAACATTTTGTAAATTTGTCATATATATATTAGGAATTAAAAACAAACAGTATCTGAATCAATTTAACAAAATGCATTCAGTATTTTGGAAAAAGTTATTTTTATGTGTTAACACATACATAATATCAAGATAAAAGGAAAAATTTTCATGTTTATGCATAGGAGGACTCTATACAATGTCATCCTCCCCAGTTGGATAAAGAGGGGAAAAAGAGAATGGCACTAAAAAAGTATTTGAAGAAATAGTGACTAAAAACTTCTTAAATTTGGTAAAATACATAAGTTTACACAGTCAAGAAACTGAATCCCAACTAGGGTAACCCAACAAAATCCATGGCTTGACACATCATAATGAAACTTTTAAAAACTAAAGAAAAAGACAGAATTTTGAAAGCAGGCAGAGAGAAATGATGCATCATACCCATAGGATAACACTGATTTGAATTACAGCAGACTTCTCACATGAAACTATGGGTGCCAGAATAGTGGTACCATTTTCTGTCAAGCATCCAGTTTTCTATAGGAACATCCTTTCTTAGACTTTGTCACTCACATGCCTCACATGATTAAAATTTTTCTGTGCCATTTATTGATGTAATTAAATATCTTAACTGGGTAATTTTTAGTAGCTGACTTATATCTATTTTATTTATTCTTTAGCTAATTCAAGGTTGTGGTTGGTTGTGTGGAACAATAATTTTGAAATTTCTGACATCTAAAATCTTGGGCGTCTCGGACCATGTAAGTACTGCCTAGTTAAAACATAAGAAGCTTTATAACTCTGTATACCTGAGTGAAAACTTCAGAACCATGTATTTGTACCTCTTCCACTTCAAGAGATGAAGTGCCTTCTTCAAGGTCTCCAAGCCAGTCACTGGCAGAGTCAGCATCACAGCCCTGCTGTCCAATGACTGTTTTAATCAACCAAGAAAAAAGTGCATCAGCGAGCACTTACTTAGCCTTCTGGGAAAATTAATAATATGTTAAATAGTTATTTGTTTATATTTCAGTTAATGCACAAGTGAGTTTTTGTTTAGTTATTCATTTATTGCAGATGTTAACATATGAACAGCCTGTACTCAGCTTTGAAATATACAACTTCTAAAATCTCAGTATAGTTTTATTTATAATCATGGATTAAACTTAAGATATGATTTGAAAATTTTTAAGATTTTTCTTATAATATAAAAAGAAAATGTTAAAGGTTTTCTATCTTTTTGACCTTCTGGAAACTGTATTGGCCACTGATCCCTCATGTGTCGCATTTCTGTCTGTTCTAAGACGAAGCCCTTAAATGATGGCCCTGTTTACAGCACATGTCCCACAGAACAATTTCTTTAAGGAACAGAAAGCAGTGCATGGATTTACTTTTGGTTTTTAGCACTTTCTGTTTGGATATGAGCATACATGTGTGTATTGTACAATAATCTACTCTGAAATTTACCTTATCTACTACTATCCACTTAGGACCCTGTCTAATGTTGAAGTTGCTTCCTAAAAAGCCAAGTGTTATCCCTATTAATTAGAATTGAACTTGCATGCATGTTCATATTAAATAAAATTTCAAACTGTGAGGATTTATTCACTATTTATTGCTAGCTTTGCATGGCGGTTTATTAGGTTTATTTGTTGCTGTTGTTTTCTAGTATGTCTGACACATTTTCCTTTTTTTCCCTTTCCCCTTTTATTGGTCTTACCTTTTAATTCTGTAGGGAGTATGTATTTTATTATCAACTTTATTTAGGTCTCCGCAGTTATTTACTTATCTATTAAGTTGGTCTGTGTTTTCTTTTTCTTGCCTTACTCCACATGGTCACCCAACTCTACAGACCTCACACCCACCTTGTACTCTTAAGTGACCTCCTGTGTGCAGCAGCAGTGAGAAAGACTTGAAATTGAAGTGTTTTGCTTAAATTACCATTAGTCACCAGACCTACTCTAAATTAGAAAAATCGAGGAAACTCTGAAATCTCCTGGTGGATAGATAATGGGAACCATGGATAAAAGAAAACCACAGAAAATCATATCAACTTGATATAAAATAATTTCTGTCCATGTCAAATATTATGAATTAAGGTTTAATATACCAAATATTTTCCTTTTTTTCTGGCCTCCGGAGAATGCTGTGGAAAATTATTGTCCCTCCAACAGTAGGTAATGAATACTCAGTAGAAAAAAGGAGTTCTACATGGGGTTTGTGTGGTGGTGTTTATTTCAAAGGCCTTGGGAATCCAGTAACTACATCAGAGTATTATGTGTACTCATTGTAATTCTCATGAATAATAGCTCTCACATTTAATGGCTTGAATGTATGCCCCAAAAGTTCAAGAAGCACCAAAAATTGTAATCAATATCAGAGGCTTCATAAAAATGACAACAGATAGAAAAATTGTTCATGATTTACAATGCATGGTGAAAGGGCTTAACCTGAGATTGGTTTTTCCTTGATAAACGGTGTGATTATACAATCTCATAATTAACTGCACGGCAGTTTCTGCCCAGTCAGTGCTGGTTTTAGCTCACCCTTTACATTGTCATCTCTGCTTGTTTTTCTGACCTCTTTCAGCTTTTCATTTCTCTTGGTGTTCTCTTTGTTTTCATACTTCAGCATAGAACATGTATTGTTCACTGTGTATCTTTTCCTTCAAGGGGCATCCATGCGCCTTGGATTTATGTGTTCTCTCCATTTCACTGCTCTGCTATTACCAGTTGTTACTGAAACTGTGTGTGTCATTTCAGTTCCTTTTACGCTTTCCTTCCAGATTCGCCTGAGTGACCTCATAGCTGCGAGAATCTTAGGGTACACAGATTTCCATACCTTAATCTACACCTGTGCTCCCGAATTTGACTTTATGGAAAAAGCGGTATGTTTGTTTTTCTTTTCTACAGGTATGGCATTTTTTTTTTAGCTCTTACGTTTTCTTTTGAATCTGAAACTCAAGATTTTCATTTAGACACATCCAACTTACCCTGTGTTTTTTTTTTACTGTAATGTTTGCTAATCATATAGCCTTTCTCACCTGCATTCTTACGTGCAAAGCAGTAAATGATGGCTCCTACCTCGAAGAGTTACTGATGATGGTTGAGGGAGATGGTCCAGAGAGGTCCTTAACATGTTATATGGTCCCCAGTGAAGGACTATGATGACAGTCAGTGACAATACTTGTCATGACCTAGGTCAGTTGGAGGCATGGAAGCACTCTGGAAAAATAAATCCAAAGTCTTAGTCAGATTTTTAAAGAATTCAGTTTTACTTAATTTAATACCCCAAATATTACAAACATTTTGAACAAGATGTTTCCAGGGAAAGGTACACAACTAACCACACATTGTTCTCTTATCTATCCATCCGGTCATACATTCATTCAAAAACCGTCCCTGGCCCCTAGTCACCTGTGAGGCAGCCTATTGCAGGGCCACACAGAGGGAAGGGACTCAGTCCTGCCTTCAGACGGTAGATGCTGCAGTCACAGGGTAAATCACTCCCCAAAACAGCAGCCGGCCGTTGTCTAGCTGCTGCGATGGCTCCAGTGCTTATCACACTCGCAGTACATACTCAGGCCAGTTTGCTGCTTGTTAGTTCTAGTTTCATAAATGAAAATAATGGAACTTTGCAGCCCAGGAAATGATAATGTAGGGCCCAGGGGTCAGTAAGTACACATTACAAAACCTAATATTATGTAAATAATAAAGGATAGACCCCCCAAAAGGCAAAAATAATGGACATATCTAATTTTTGGTTTAATACTTTTATCATTAAATTTTTTGATAAATTTGTATAACTATTTTTAAATATTGGTCTTTATATTGGAAGACAAAGGTTGGTAAATTTATATATATCCTGTTAATGACAAAGATAGTTCTACCTTTAAGAGATTTCATTGTGACACTCAGTTTAACATGAATTTTTACTCATTTAATGTAAAATTTAATAAATGACTATTTTGAATAATTGTTTTATTTCAGACTCCGCTGAGATACACAAAGACATTATTGCTTCCACTTGTAATGGTGATCACTTACTTCATCTTTAAAAAGGTATTTTTTAAAATGTATTACTTTGGGTTCAAGATAAAGACTTAGAGTAGATTAATGATAGTAGCTCAGAACTCTGTCTTATTTTTAGGGGGAACTCTTTCCCTCTCTAAAATTTTTTTATTTAAATATTTTATTATCTAGTATTACATGGCTTTTTAAGAAAGCCATATTAGAAAAGATACCCTTAATTATTCTCTGAAAAGAAATGTATTAACTACCCACCATGTGGCTATGTCAACACCCTGGGGACATGCTCCGAAGCCACCTGTAGTGTGAGCTGGGGCTGGGACAGCTGGGGAAGCAGAGGCCACCGCTGACCCTGCAACCATCGGGAGTTGGGTAGAGGGCCCATACAGACTTTGAAGCGGGGCGGAGCCGGTCAGAGGGAGGGTGTGTGTGTTAGCTTCCTCGCTCACCTGGAAGGTGAAGGTAAAACAGTCTCTGAAAGTACCCAGAGGCTGCTGCCAACCACCACCTCAGTCCACCCCGCCTCCTGTGAAATACAGGCTGAACTCCATCCAGCAAGGAGTTGCCCCCGTGCAAAAGCTTGGAATTTTAGAGCTGAAATAGATCTTAAAAGTTTACCCCAACTCTCTTTTGTTAATTAGAGGAAGTTAAGACTTCAAGATACTATTTGCCTGTGGCAAGGCTGAACCTAAACTGTTCCCAAGGACCCACTCGAACCATAAAATTGCTTCTTTCTACCGGGTGTGTTTATGTTTATGAACCAGGGCATTTTAAATGTCATGTAGTTTCTCAGAAAAGTTTTATCGATCTGATTCTATTCACAGACTTTTCGTGATGTTTTATGTGTCTTATCTGCAAACACTTATCTAAGGTAATTATATCATAGATGTTTCTAAATCATGCTATATTCAGTTATTAGATAACTTACTGACAATATCAGTTTTCCAAATGAGTGGACATTAAACTTCAGCATTGTGATTAAGAAAGGAGATATGAACCAAACTTATATGTTTCCTAAAAATGAAATACAATGGATTAGTCTTAGGGATTGCATTTATGTGTTTGGATATGTTTTAGAGATATTTATATTTGTGAATTAACTCAAAACTTAAATCAATTTAGTTTAATTTCAATATATCACTAGAATTTAAAGTCAATAAACAGAAGGATGCTAATTTTTTTTTGAGCAATTCTTTTTTAACTTTCAGAGAAAGTATAATTGTTTTTCTGAATATTCATGAAGTAGTTTTTTTCTCCATTTACAGTTGAAACTATGTGTTCCATTACATTTTTGTGGTTTAGTAAAGTCACTACACTTATGGCATAAACATATGCAAGAAAAATATGATGTGAAAGTAAATTGCTGAAGAAATTTCCTTCTGAGGCAAACCTTATCTCACATTCTATTTATGTAGATACGTCATTAGACTTACTGTGTTTAAGGAAATACATGTGGCAAGGACAGATTTAGATTTCCAGAACAATGGTGACAATAGCACAGAGAGCGCTCATGACCCCGCACCCTATGTTGATATTTCAGTAAAGTTTTGTGTGGTTGCCAGAAGTGCTCATTAGAATTTTATAGGAGAAATTGTTGAAATGGTAGAATCCTATTGGTTGAAATCATTTCTGAAACAAGAGAGCTGATAGACCCTCAGGTGGAGCTCTTGACATTCTAGAAAGAGTGTTTGTAGAGCCCTGAAAACTGTTCACATAAGGAATGTGTGAAGGAGGCTGGGTTTTTAGATTAGAAAATAGAAGAAGCGTCATGGGTCTTCAAATATTTGAGGGGGTGCAGTGTGAGAGAAGAAACACTAGAGGGAGCCCGTGGGTGGGAGATAACGGCTCAAAATAAGGTGTGTCTGCCGGATTACACACCTGAAGGTGACGGCCTTGTGGGTGTATGGGCACTGAAATAGGACACAGTCATGGTAATACATTCAGACAAAACAGTGTATCAGGAACAGAGGGAGGCTGCCCACCTATCCCCCCAGCCTTGACTGCCTAAGTGAGGAAGGCGTCAAAATGGAGACCAAGTAATTGGCTGATTTCACTAATCTCTGGGGAGACCTTCTCCCAATTACCCATTTTTCAAAAATCTCTGGATCTGTGTGTCCCCTTCAACTCCTTTCTTATTTCTCTCTCCCACTCCAAAATCCATAGTAGAAGGCCTCTGCGTCCTATAAAGCTCTGTTATAACATAGGTGGTCTTTTTAATGGAACATAAGCATGGGCAGTCTCACACTCTCATTCAAATCTAAAATAAGCCCCATGAAGATAAAAGCAGTGCCAGAGCTATTCATGCTGCGTCCACTGCACAGTACCTCGGACCCTGCAGGGGCGCCATGAGAATGCAGCCCATTTTTAGCCATAAATATTTACTAAATTTGTTAGACAGCTTTTCCAGAACTAAAAATATATATATAGCCTTTACTCAATACCTTTTCTTCTAGCAGTTTATCCTAAGGGCATACTCAGATGCTCACAGTCTGGTGTACCGGGATGTTCCTGGTACTCACAATTGTGAAAAACCAAAACCACTCAGCACTGCCTATTTAAAGCATTGTAGATGCTGCACGTGGCTGACTGTGTAACATTCTTTTCGTTCGTTTGCCTTTTCACAGGCACAGTCTCCAGCAATTAGTAGCACCTATTTTATCTTAAGAAAGAATGGCTTTTTCAGATGCCTTAAGAAGGATTGTTATAAATCATGCCTTTTTAAATTACTGTAACTTGTAATGGTATTATCTAATATTTGTATTTTCTTTATGCTTCTAAGCAGTTTAGAGAATCGAATTTTTAGCATCTAAGAAGAAATGGAAGTTTATTTTGATGTGACCATAGTATAATGGACATTTAGTAAATAGAGAATGTTTTTGTTTTATTCCAGAAAACAGCTCCTTGAACATGGTGAGGTAAAGCCTTCGTTTTAATCACTGGTAGATTGTGGGTTAAGATCTAGTTCAAGGCCAGTTTATAAAGGAACAGCCTTGCTGCTGACAGCCACCAGCGGTGCTTGCGTGGGTCAGTCGCACTGGGCTGTTTCTGCCGATCCTTCCACGTTTTAACCTGTGTTTTGAACAGTAGCAAGGAATGGAAAGCTACAAGGCTGATGTATGACCATAGAGCATAATTAAATTGAATTACCTTCAGTCATTCGTTCTTTCACTTATCCAACAAGAACAAAGATTAATGTCTGAACTGCCGAGCTAGCCAGCCATCTGGACGGGTACCTGGGGCTGGGCTTCTGCCCCACAGAAGTGGGGTGGTGGGCCAGGGAGCAGGCTTCGGCAGGGCTGCTGGACACCAAAGGCGGTGTAGCAGTGCCCCTGCCTGCAAGTGTGTGCGAGTGTTCGAGGGAGACAGGACACCGTGAGGCAGCGTTGTGCACCACACTAAGCCATTATGTGGCATGTCCAGGAAAATACCAGCACAGGCTGGAAATAGGATTTCCTAAGTAAGAACTTGTTCTTAAAGGAAGGGTCGGATATATAAGAGGGCAAGGAAATCTGAACTTTGTAGGGATAGCTTACAGTGATAACTGCTGTTTTTGAATAGCTGCTGTGTGCCATGTACAGTGCTGTTTAATTCTTATTATTCCCATTTTGCAAGTAAGAAAATGTAAACTGGGTGATACTACCCCATACAGAGATAAACACTGACATAACTTAGTAGTTGAATTCTTTGCACACATAATCAAATCCAGGAGCTCCTGGTTAGCAGGATTTGAGAGACCAGACTCCTTCCTCCTGTGGCTCTGCCATTTGTCTACACAGCTTCCCAGTGCTGTGCCATCCCCATCAACCTGCCAGCGAGGAGCGGGAACATGGAGGTTGGAGGGTTTGCAGGGGCTGCGCCTGGAAACAGCGTCCCTCACCACCACCTGCCCACCTGACGGAGGCAGGCTGGGAAAGGAGAGCAGAGGGGTCCCTGCTGAGAGGCAGAGGCCCAGAGGCACGAAGCTGTTCTCCTGAGGTGCCCCGGCCAGCTGCTGGAAAGCTTGCACTTGAACCCAAGCAGTCCATCCCCAGGGTTCCTAAAGTCAGACTCAGTGCCCCCTGCCTCCCTATTCATGTGTGTGTGCAGCCTCATTCTCACACCAGCCCTTTGAGGGAAGTGCTGTTATTTCTGTTCCACTGATGAGCACCGTAGCTGAGAAGGGGTCTAGTGACCGGCTGCGAGGCCCAAGGAGACAGAGCCCAGGGGAGCAGCGGCGGGGTCGTCTGTTAGCCCGTCACTCTGCCGCCACTGAATGTGGCTGCTTTTGTGCGAATCGGTCGGGTCACAGTCCCGAGTTCTACATGTGAGCATGCATGCACACTTAGTCTACCATGCGGTATTTAAAGCCTGCCTCTTCTCAGCAACACGACACTCCTTACTTCTGCCTTTCTCTTCTCCCCCTTCAACAGGCCCCTAATTCTGCCCAAAGATGAATTTTACTAAAGAAAAACAATTAACTGGTTTTAAAGTAAGCATTCCACACTCCAACTTTGGGTCCAAGAATTAGGAGAAAATTACATGGCAAATTTCATTTTTAAATATCTTTTTAAAAAAGGAACAGCTCTGGGTAACTCATAGGGCACATATTCTGTCAGATCCCCCCCAGAATCCATTCTGTGTGTGTTTGAACATACACACCCCAGAATCCATTCCGTTCTGCATGTACACAGCTCTACACTCTGAAAACTTTTCCATGCCATTAAGTCACCTTCCCACAGATAGTCTTTTAATGGCTGTACTCATGTGGCAATTTAGTTACTTAATCCTCTCTGCTGGCCACTTAGGATGTTTCTATTTTTACTGCTAAAATTCCACTTCAGTGACCATCTTGCAGAAGCATTTTTGTGTTTTGGTTATTCCCTTAAGTTCCCAGGACGGAGAGTTAAGTCAAAGGAGCGGACTGTCCCCTTGGTCCATATAAATACCACCGACAGAAACAGTACTACAGAAACGTCCCTGCTGGTCACTTCAGTACGTGGCATCACATCCTCTCTCACGCCTGGCATTAATTTATTGTTTGTCAATTTTGTAGATTAAAATACCTTATCATCTTCAACATTTGATTTCTTTGAATGTTAGAACATGAGGATTTAGTTGCCACTTACTTTTGGTTACATTAATTCTTTGTCCCTTTTTCTAGTGGAGTTGGTTAATATTTTAACAGCCCGGGGCTCCTGCTTTCCCCGCCCCCTGCACTGTCCCCTGCCCCAGTTCTCTTCCCTTGCCCTCACCTCATCCCCAGACACCATGACATGACTTTATTTTCGCTTCATCTGTTTATTTTTCTCTTTGCTAAACACACGGAAGTGGAAGCCGCTCAAGGGCAGGAGTCGCTCACTGTTGTTTTGTTCACCTTTGAATCTGCAGTGTCTGGAATGGTGCCTGGCAGGCAGCAGGCGTTCAATTAACCTTTGTTGAATAAATGAATGAATATTAATAGACTTATTACTAAGGTAAAACGGTCCTTGTCCTGATGAATAGTAATAGCTTTATGCGCTTAATTTTGTGTTTCTTAATTTAAAAATAGATAAGGTTAAATGGTCGTTTTGTTTTGATTCTGTAGCTGATCTTCCACACGCTGCAGCTGTTTGCCTTTTCCGCCCTTGCCGTCCTCATCATGAGGCTGAAGCTGTTCCTGACCCCGCACATGTGCGTGATGGCGTCCCTGATCTGCAGTTGGCGGGTAAGGCGTTCGGCCTGGTGCTGCCGCTGAGTAACCAAAACGTAAAGACACTGGTGTAACCTTAGATGCGTTTAATGTCAGTTCATGACTCCCTGTAGACTAAGGGAAGCAGCTTCAAATAGCTGTGAAAATTATTCCTAGTTTTTAATAAATATTTCTAAGACAAGTGATGAGGTACACCCTTCCCTCTGCGAGTAGCCCATCCACAGACGTTGATTTTTGGAGTGTGCATCTGTGCAAGGGTCCTGTGGCCCATCCAGGCTACCCCTGGCTGCTCTTCTGATTCCAGAGCAGATGCTTGCTCTGCTGCTGTTTTCTTGGCTCAGAGAGTCCCTGGGAAATGTCGACTGTTCTGCGGTTCCGTTACCATAGCTGCCATGCAGGGAGCTGGGCGAAGTAGCAAGGATATGGGGACCAAGGTGCTTCTAGAAACACCTTACTTAGTTCCAGTCATGAGAGTCTTAGAATGTCAGGTGCTTATTTTCCTGAGAGCAGCGTCCGTGTACGTAGCAGTGCCATTTCCCTCGTTGTTCAAGTTGGCCGTAAAAAGCAGCCAGATATTACAGGGTTTAGTTCTAGGGTGTTTCAAAACCGTGATTGGCTGATCTTAATCCCTGGTGACAGATCAGTACTAGAAGGATCAGGTGTGTTCCTCAGTTCTTTCAGAAGTAAAGGGCTGCATTTGTAACTGGGCCCTGTAATTCCAAAATATTTGCTCTTTTTGAACAATAGGTGAGGATAGTTCTGTAAGTGATTAGTGTACTTGATGATATCAATGGCAATCCACCTTGGTTCAAGTAGCAAGATGAAAATTTATTACTGACCCTATAGCATTCTTCATATAAGAATTATAAATAAATGGTTTCTTTCATTTCAGCTCTTTGGCTGGCTTTTTTGCAGAGTTCGTTTTGAGAACGTTATGTTTGGCCTCCTAACTGTCATGTCCCTACAAGGTTGTGCGAACCTCCGTAATCAGTGGAGCATAATAGGAGAATTTAATAATTTGCCTCAGGAAGAACTGATTCAGTGGATCAAACACAACACCAGAACAGGTATGTGGCTGCTCCGTTACATGTATCGCTGGTTTTGTACACACACACTTAAAATGCACACACATTTATACTTCCACAGATTTTGAGAATGCTAACTGCAATGCCCTCCCAATCAAAGCTTTTCCAAAGGTGATTTTGTGTCCTCATTTAAATCCTTCTGGGTAACTGTCAAAAAGAATTTTCATTAATACCAGAAATTAAGGATTGTTCACAGTTATATTCTGCAACTCTGAGATTGCTATTGTATTTTAACCCTAACAAACAGTAAATCGAATAAAGCTTTAGCAACCAAATTTCTCACCCTGTGACGGACCATTGAAGCAGCAGCCACACCCCCGTCCCCCCTCGGCGGCCCCAGCCCCAGCCCCAGCCCCAGCCCCTCCGGCACAGCATGCGAGCAGAAGGGCGCCAGAGGTGGGCGCTATCCCCTGGTTGAGAGCCAGTGCCCCAGCCTGAGAGCTTCTCTCATTAATTATTGGATCTTGCAATAATAAGTGCACATTTCTACTTCAACTGACTTCAGTATTTTCAAGTTTAAGGCATATAAAGATATTTTAATTCAAAATTACATTTAGGATAGTTAGAGTTGAAAGTAAACATTTATTTATAGTAGATCTAAATAACATGTGTTCTTATTAGTAATTTATATGCTAATTAAAATTATAATAATAATTGTATAATAATTTTTATACAAAAGTGCCAGGAGGTAAGCATTTGGTCTTTTTGTCTTCCAAGAGATAAAATTGAAAGTGAAGTCAGATGGCAGATTTGGTGAATCTGATTTATACAAAATACATCTATATGTGCCATTACTGCAAAAAGTACGACTAGCAAGGAATCACATATTTTGATTCAGTATATAACTTACAAAGTCAAACAGAAATGAAGGCCCCTGAATGATGAGTGTGTAGAGACGATCTGAGGGGAGAAAGCAGGGCGCGGCTCTGGCAGCTGGTCAGACGACATTCACAACCCACACAAGTCATCGTGAAAAGTGCACCGTGACACTCGCCCTTTAGCCTGCCCACCAGCCTCTGCGTTCCTCTCGTCCTAAATCGCTGGGACAGGGCGTGACGTGGAACGGGTGGCTCTGCGTCTCAGCTCAGTGCTGATTGGGCTGCAGCTGGAGTGGGGCTGGGGCTGTGCAGTCCTGGTGGAGTCTTCACCTGGCGGAGCCTTGGCCTCGTTCACAGAACCACACAGAACCCAACCTGTCCAGTTGCGAGTGTTCAAACGTGTGGTCCTGTACCAACATTAAGCACAGTTCCTGGCACCAGGACGGCACTCAGCAAAGGCTGGTGGTTATGGTGGGGGACAATCGATCAATTCCAGGTGCGGAAAAACAATGGCACCAACAGGTGTTGTTTAAATGCACTCTAGCATCCTCATCTGGGTTCACATAGGGAAGATCTGTAACTTTTGGTTTTCTGTCCCACACGTTATTAAAAACCATTATCTCTTGCAGACGCTGTGTTCGCGGGGGCCATGCCGACCATGGCGAGTGTGAAGCTGTCCACCCTGCGCCCCATTGTGAACCACCCGCACTACGAGGACGCAGACCTGAGGTGGGCCTCTGATGGGACCTCTGGGCTGGGCACACTCACGACTCACACCGACTCTTGCAGACAGGGAAATGTTTGCACACGCGAGCACATGCACACACACGTGCTCTCCCCCTCGTGTCCGTGCTGGAGGTTCAAAATGCATAACCACCACCCTGATATCAGGGGCCTCTCCACCCCCAGTGAGCTTAGTAAGCTCTGGCAACTGGAAAAAGCCAAAGCCAATCTTGCCAAAGTGAAGCCGGAGTCACAGAGTTCTCACTGCTCTCAGTGGGCATGCGTGCATCCCAGTGCCGCTCGGGGGCCACACCCGGGGCCGAGTCGGTTAGGCCCCTGGCCTTGGTGCCCTGCGCAGTCCCCTGCCCCCCACCCTGCCTGGTTTCAGACTCCTTTCTCCATCTCACTGCCGGCCAGTGCCTGGCCTTTCTTCAAACAGAGGGAACAAGTGTGGGAAACCTGCTGTGGTTCATGGTGTAATGAAGTGTAGAGTGTTTGTTTGCTAGGGGGTCATGAGAACTCAAGTCCCACTGAAGTCTGAACATTCTTTTCCTTAAATGACTGACTTTAAAAAATAGTTCTAATCATTCCAGGAATTGTCAGAGTAACCATTTCCTTTGCATTTAATTTTTGGCCTTTTGTTAATAGGTAAAATTTTAAGTTATTTAAAGTTCTATGTCCAGTTGTAGAGTTTGGGCATCCCACATGCTCGAACTCCTTAGGTTGCCTATACGGATTCATTCTGGGTTTCATAGAAACCCTCACTCAGGGCCACACTACATACTGTGCCATGTCTCGGTGAGCAACCCTGTTTCTCAGCTTCCCTGAAGGTGCTTCACCTGGCTGCTGCCCTGGGTGCCGCTGCTGGAAGCTTCCATTTCCTACATTCACCTTCAACTCATGTGTCTTCTGGAGCTTCTGTAGATGAAGCTGTCTCCTGAGATCTGTGTTTTCACTGTGCTTAGTCTCTGCCTGCATGCATTCCACGAGTAGGTTAATTATTTTATAAATGGTACAAAGCAAATTGTATATTCCGAATGATTATCCTGCTGTCCAATTCTAGGTTCTAAACTGGTTAATAAGCAATTCATGCAAAATTCACACTGCTGTACATTTTAGCATGTGTAGGAAATAAGGGGTATGGAAACTGCTGTCCCCCAAATGATCTGTGCCATTTGGGATCATATGTATAAATGTTCTATCCAGTGAGCATTATGATTTTAATTTGCTAGAAAAATATCTTTATTCTATTATCACATATTAAAAGTGTCTTTAATCTATCTTTAAATTTAAAGGGCCCGGACAAAAATAGTTTATTCTATGTATAGTCGAAAATCTACAAAAGAAGTAAGAGACAAATTGTTGGAGTTACATGTGAATTATTTTATTTTAGAAGAGGCATGGTGTGTTGTGAGAACCAAGTGAGTATGAGCCCTATGATATATTTTTTAGCAACACTGTTTTATTTTATTAAAAATAGTCCTAATTCTTGAAGAAGTTTTGTTCTGAATAAATGTCATTAAAATATTTTACTTAAAATTATTTCATGTAGGAAAGTAAAATTATACTACCTTTTAAGCAGAATTTAATTTAAAAGAATTATAGTGTTAGTTTCCTGATTTTAAAATTTTAATTTATTATTTAAAATGTAACTTTTTCATGCTTTTCCAAGTTTTTATGATAATTTTTATTAGATGTGTGAAATGCAGATTTGAATTTACAGCTGAGTAAGATATTAACATTCTGCTACTACAACTGAATTACATTGGATTTATAAGAATTATGAGAAAAATTTAACATAACTCAAAAGGATATAAAACAGGTTATTTTTTATTTCTGAATTTTGAATCTCTAAAAATCATCAAGTACAAAAATGGTTAGTTGATATTTTGAGGGCTTTCTTTTTAGACTCTTTGATCTAAGGGGCACTAAGTTGTGTTGAGCCCGATGTGGAACATTTTCACTTCACCTGTGGATAATTAGGAATTAGGCTTTCAGACAGTGGCAAAAAGCTAAGTTCAGAAATTTTAGTAGCGTATTCTTCTATAGAATTTTAGTATCTAATAAATACATCTAGGGAGCAATGGCGTCATGCAAAAGAAGAGACAGGAACATCATTATGTTCATGTATGTGCATCATATTAATTTCACTCAAAATTTAATAAAACACAGTAGACTTCAAAACAAGGCTTGTTACCACAGATATATATATTTTTTTATTTTATTGATTATGCCATTACAGTTGTTCTATTCCCCCCTTCATTCCCCTCCACCCTGCACCCCCCACCATTCCCTCCCACCTTTACCCCCCTTTAATTTATGACCATGTGTCTCAAATGCTTTAGATTCCATATTTCCCATACTATTCTTGCCCTCCCCCATCTATTCTCTACCTACTGTCTATGCTACTTATTTTCTGTACCTTCTCCTTCTCCTCCTCCCACTCCCCTGTTGTTAACCCTCCATGTGATCTTTATTTCTATGGTTCACTCCTGATCTGCTGTCCTCTTAGTTTGCTTTTGTTTTAGGTGTTGTTATTAATAACTGTGAGTTTGCTGTCTTTTCACTCTTCATATCTTTTATCTTCTTTTTCTTAGATAAGTCCCTTTAACATTTCATATAATAAAGGCTTGGTGATGATGAACTCCTTGAATTTGATCTTATCTGAGAAGCACTTTATCTGCCCTTCCATTCTAAATGAAACTTTTGCTGGATAGAGCAATCTTGGTTGTAGGTTTTTAAATTTCATGACTTGGAATACCTCTTTCCAGCCCCTTCTTGCCTGTAAGGTCTCTTTTGAGAAATCTGCTGACAGTCTGATGGGAACTTCTTTGTAGGTGACTGTCCCCTTATCTCTTGCTGCTTCTAGGATTCTCTCCTTCATTTTAATCTTGGCTAATGTAATGATGATGTGCCTTGGTGTGTTCCTTCTTGGGTCCAACTTCTTTGGGACTCTCTGAGCTTCCTGGATTTCCTGGAAGTCTATTTCCTTTGCCAGATTGGGGAAATTCTCCTTTATTATTTGTTCAAATAAGTTTTCCACTGGTGGCTGTTCCTCTTCTTCTTCTGGTACCCCTATAATTCGGACGTTGGAGTGTTTAAAGATGTCCTGGAGGTTCCTAAACCTCTCCTCATTTTTTTGAATTCTTGTTTCTTCATATTTTCCTGTTTGGTCATTTTTTTCTTTCTTCTGGTTTACTCCCTTAATTTGAGTCCCAGTTTCCTTTTCATCACTATTGGTTTCCTGTGCAATTCCCTTCATTTCAATTAGTTTAGCCTTCATATGTTCCTGTAATTTGTGACTAAAATCAACCAGTTCTGTGAGCATCCTGATCACCAGTGTTTTGAACTGTGCATCTGAAAGTTTTGCTATTTCTTTGTCACTTAGAGTTATGGGCTCTGGGGCTTTGAGATCTTCTTGAGCCATTTTTGGTCTGTTTGTGCCCATTAAGTATGAGGAGCAGATCCTTAGGTGTTCACCGGCAGGGGGGGGGGCACCCAGGTCGCTGGGTTGTGATGCTGTATGTGGTGGCGGGGTCAGAGTGGGGAAATAGCGGCCCCCTCTGCTGCTTCCTGCCGCTGGGGCCTGCTCGGTCCCATCTCACTGCTCACTCCTTCTCCAGTCTATCTGTGCATGAATGTGTGACCACAGTCAACCCGCTGCCCTGCGCCCTTGCTGGGTCCACCCGTCGCTCACTGGGTCGCTCACTGGGTCTGCCCATTGCAACCCCATGCCTGGGATCCACGCGCCTGAGTCCATCTGACCAAGTTTTCCTGTGCAACCCTGCTCCACCAGCTGCTGGCTTTGCCCCTCTTACCAGTCAGGCTGAAGAATTCGTTGTTATCAGACTTCCGAAAAGTTCAATATTCTGTATTCTGACTGTGTTTTCTGTTGCTAATATTTTGTTGTCTCTAAACTTGGTTGTGTGAGAAAGCAGGCATCTCCACCTATGCCTCCATGTTAGGGGAAGACTACCACAGGTATTTTATAATGACCAAAGGGTCACTGCATCAAAAAATATGTAGCGATTATAAATGCATATACATCTAAACAGCATTTAAAAATACGCAAAGTGAAAATATGCAGAACTAATAAAAAATAAACAAACCTTCAGTCATGGTTTGAAATGTTAACATTCCTTTCTCTACAGAGAAAAATAGATAAATAGCCAGTAAGGATTAAAAAAAAAAAAATGAACAACAGCCTAAGCTGGTGTGGCTCAGTGGATTGAGCACCAGCCTGCAAACCAAAGGGTTGTTGGTTGGATTCCTGGTCAGGGCAGATGCCTGGGTTGCAGGCTAGGTCTCTCGTAGGGAGCATGTGAGAGGTAACCACACACTGATGTTTCTCTCCCTCCCTTATCCTTCTCTAAAAATAAATCTTTAAAAAATAAAAGATACAAAGACAAACAGTATCAAATACCCTGGTCTAATTGGCATTTATAGAACGCTGCAGGGAACAGCTGGAGAACACTCATTCTTTTACAGAGCACATGGGACATGCATTAGAAGAGAAGATACCGTGGGCCATAAAAGAGTCTCAGTGTGCTCAGTGAAATCATGCAGAATTAAATGAGAAATGAATAAATAGATGATGAGTAAATCCATACGTATTTGCAAACTAGCCAATAAACTTATGGGTCAAAATTAAAAGCACAAAGGAAATGTAAAAAGGGATGTTTTTTACTTGAATGGAAAGGAGTCTTAAGCAATGTTGCTGATCTAACTGGAGATCTGTGTAGGAGAAAAACTGAACCCCGACCCACACTACGCCACACACAAAACTGAACTTGACATGGATTACAGAACTAAATGTAACAGCTAAAACTGTATTTCTTAGAACACAGAGCACAAACCATAAAACGTGAATAAGTTATATACATCAAAACTGAAGTCTTTTCCTCAAAAGGTGTTAAGAAACTGAAAAGGCAAGCCACAGACGGGGAGAAAACAATTGCAAAGCATGTATCTGATGAAGGACTTACATACATAGTTTATATAAAGAAATTTCACAAATTAACAACAGCTGGAATCTGAAAGCGCCGAGCCCACGTGGCTGCTGCACGCCACAGGGGGTCCAGGCCAGTTGACTGACTACGAACAGGCGATCAGCACAAGAACAAAACAGATTCCAGAGTCATAGCAGTTTGCAACCCCCAGGGTCTCGTTCCCAGCCAACAGTGATCAGACCTGCGAAGAAATGGACGGAATGACCAGGCCTAAGGGGAAAAGTTGGCAGACACCGATTTCAGCGGGCCCAGATGTTGGACTTAGCAGTCAAAACCTGCAAAGCGGCTATTATAGACACATTCAAATAATTAAGGAAAATACTGTTTAGGGAGAAACACTACTTCATCTAGTCCACTCATAGAGCCACCCAATGGGCATGGGTGGAGGAGGAGAAACTTGGCGTCAGAGCTTCCTTTTCCCGTCTTTGGCCTTGTTTTCACGCTGATCCACATGGATTTAAGCCCCCAAATAGGAAGTTTATCAGGAACTGTATTCACTTTTAAAAATTTGTCTCATTCCACAATTAATGGGTTTTGTATTTGGTTGCTGGTAATCACTTAGAAAATATAGTGATCTATATTTATTTTGAAAATGAAATTTTAAATATATAGTTCTGAATGTATACTGAACCTTTGTTGGATTCAAAATGCATTGATTATTTGATTACATGGAAAATAAAAATGCAACCTACTTATTTTTATCCTTTATCTCTAAATATTGAACTTAGGCTTTTTGAAATGGTGCCTTAAAATCTTTAATGTGCCCTGGCTGGTGTAGCTCAGTGGATTGAGTGCGAGCCTGCGAACCAAAGAATGGTGGTTCGATTCCCAGTCAGGGCACATGCCTGGGTTGCAATCCAGGTCCCAGCAGGGGACGCATGAGAAGCAACCATACATTGATATTTCTCTCCCTCTCTCCTTCCCTTCCCCTCTAAAGATAAATAAATAAAATCTCTTAAAAATCTTTAATGTACTGAATAAGTCTCTTAAAGTCTAGGAGCTGCTCTACAATTTATGTGTCTCCTCTGGATATGAACGCACCGACTATGGTTTACCTGGCCTTCTTCTCCTTTTTTCAGGCCCGGTTGCAGCATGCTAGAGATTTGGGATCTGGAAGACCCTTCCAATGCAGCGAACCCCCCCTTATGCAGTATCCTGGTCAAGGATGCCCGGCCTTACTTCACCACGATGTTTCAGAACAGTATGTACAGAGTACTGAAGGTCGGCTGAGGCCGCGACCGCCCGCCGCACTGTGGTGCAGATGTGCACCGCAGACGGTCATTCTGGCTTGTTTACATTGATCGACATCACAGGCCTTAGTCAGGGACCCTTAAAAAGAAGAAAATAAAGCAATTTAGTTTTTCCGATTGCTAAAGGAGGGTACATTATTTCATTGTTTTCCATTGAATGTCAGCCTTATTAAGCTTGCATTTAAATAATTAAATCATTTCATACTGCATAACAAATGTTCATCTTTAAGGTTTAAAAAACAGTATGTAAAAGAACAATGAAATTTAACAAATCAAAGAGATGTAAGTCTTTTCAATCCAACTAGGTGAATTGCTTCAGGTTTTCTCTAGTACCAGGGCATACTGGTTCCGACTCTCTAAACCACTTGGACAGAGTAAAGCTGTTCCTGACACAACACCTCAGACCCCGATACTGACCTCGGGGTCACAACCTCTGACCTCTGCGGGGAAATTTGTTTGTGACCATGCCACCACTAAGATTGTTCCTGCTTTCACTAGCCTCTGGGAAGGTCTTTAATAGCTTTTAATAACTTTTTATCGCTTCAAGTTAAGTATTTTTACAAACAGCTTACTCTGTAATGTTTTGATCCTCTCGAGTCTATTTAACCAACCAGATAAGTATTTTTTCCATTGATTAATTCTCTAAGTTTAGCAGCTTATTCATCTGTCTTTAGAATCCAGTGGTTTTTCTTTTAATATCCAGGCAAAATAAAAAATTGCTATCGTACATGATATAATTTTGGCTGAAATATAATCAGAAAAGAAACTCCAGTTAAATTTATCAAATGAAATTTTAAGATTCTAGATCTTGAATTAAGCAAATGCATTTTGTCTTGCTAGCCTTGCAGCTCATCGGACCGGGCCTTTGTTTTTTTTTTCTGGTCACCGTCATTTGCAGTAACGTAGTTTAAGTCCTTTTCAACTTTCAGAGTTGCAAAACATTTCACTGTAGGACACAAAGCAGCTGAGAAAGCATGCCACAGTTTATTTATTTTAGCATTTTCAAATAATTTGTTTCAGTGTGTGGACAAAGAAGAAAGAGGCATAACACCTGACATTCATCAAGTTACTGTAATACATACTAGACGGTGTTTGCATAGGAAACATTTTTTAAAGTTGGCAGAATTAAATGACAACAACAAAATGGGACAAGTTGTAGTAACTTATAAAATGTTCCATGTAAATATAATGTATTAATATGGGTTTATGTAACTTTCATGCGCTGTGTGTGTTTAAGAATTAAATGAGCCTTGAAAATTCTGCTCATGTTTTCTATTTTTCCTCATCCTTTATTGTTCTGAAATTGAAATAGTTTTGCTGTGAAGGTAGAAATCACCAGGTCCTGGATTCATGGTCTGGCGATGATACTTAGCCACTGTAGAACAATTCTGCACAGTCCCCCACAGAAGGCAGTGTATGGTGATGGAAACAGTGTGGCCTTCTGACAAGTCGGATCTAAGTTTGAATCCTGGCACCTCATTTACTAGGTGTGCTACCACTCAATCAAAAGTCAGAAGATATTTATTGAGCACTTGCTGTATGCCATGAACTGTGTTGTTCCACTTATTTATTCATTCATTGATTGATTCTTGTATGTGCCCTGACTGGGGATCAAACTGACAACCTTGGCATATGGGGGTGGCGCTCTAACCAACTGAGCTACTTGGTCAGGGCATCTGAGCTTCAGTTTCTTTACCTGTATGTAAGTCAGAAGTCACAGGACCTAGTTGGAAGGTCATTCTGAGGCTTAGTAAGAATGTGTGCAAGTGCTCGGGCGTGTAGGGCCCGACACACGCTAGTTCCATTCGCTCCCTCACCCAGTAAGGAGCTCAGCAATGTTACGTCACCTGGTCGGTCACCTCGTCTCAGGACTCCAAGTCTCTTGCCTTTATTTTGTGTCAGTAAACAGGAATGTTGGACTATAGCCCCCAAAAGATGAGAATTCTGTTTTTGCAACCTAACATATCGGTGTATTTGGTAGTTTTCTATATCAAACACCCATGTTCCATAATATATAGGAGAGATACAAATTAAATTTGTTTCTATTTTCAAAAGGGTCATGGCTCCTCCCACCCAGCTTGCAGCAGCCAGTGCCAGGCGAGGGACGGCGAGAGGCAGTCCTTCCCCGCACCCCCAGACCCTGTCCAACTCCAGGTTCCCACAGTGGAGAAAAGTCCTTTGAGCACGGGCGAGCCCAGACACGCGGGCCGTGCAGGCACAGCGCACACACGCTGTGCACGTCTGTGAAGTGATGGGCACTGAAAGTCGGTCACAGAATGCCTCCAGCCAAGTCCAGCTGTTTTGAATGAACAGCTAGGCTTCATTAGACTCTTTACAATGTCGTGAAAAGCAAAACCATCTTAATCTGAAGTGTAGTTATTGTTTATAGACTCATACCTAGTGAAATGATGTACTGTATTATGAAAACAATTTCTTCTACAGTAAGTAGGAGGAAATACCCACTAAAAACTGTTAGTGAGCAAAATGTTTATTTTACATAGACTTAGCGCCATCTGCCGGCTCTTAAGTATTACAATGTTTGTCATGAAATAGCTACAAAAAGAGTTAAGTAGCTGGTTTGCACATTTTAAAGATGGGAGAAATCCAGGCAGAAACAGAAAACTCAAGGACATGAGCTACACTTCTTTTTAGTTGTGATTATCTCTGCAGGTAGGGATGGAACAGTAATTCCCGGTTCTTCTCTGCCTTAACCACAACATCTCCACTGTTTCTTCCTGTTCTCCCTCCTCTGGTGCCTTGGGGGTGGGTGGGGGGTGGGGTTCTCTGCTTTGGTCCCGCCTTCCTGTAGGATGATGGACACTCCCAACTTCTCACTTCAGCCGCAATGAATGCACTGCTTGAATTTTTCAGCATCTCTTTTTGCTGCGCGTGCTCACACTGTCGCCTCAGTCTGTTAAAGTCTTACTTGTCCTCCTTCCACTTGCTCTTCCTGCTCATGCCTTCACCTCTCAGCTCAGATGTCCCCTCCACCAGGAAGCCTGCTGGGACCATCTCCTTAAGGTCTGCTAATGCCACTCCACTTGCCAAGTAGTTTGATCATTTTAAAATTATCTCTTTACCTCTGAGAGTCTCTCATTGAGCTAAGAGCTACTTAAATATAGGGCTTGTGTCGTTTGATTCATATTCTACTTCTCATCGTTCCTGGCACATAGTAGGTGCTCAGTAAATGTTGTATGAAGGAATAACATGGAAAATAAGTGGTTGAAACATAGGGAAAAAAATTAAAGACATGGTGGTTAGTGATCCCATTGGGTAACTTTTGCTGTTCCTAGTATATACCTCATTTAGCCCCCAAATGGATCAACATATCTTGTAGGTCTCCAACACTGTTTGGGGTGCTGCTGGATCAAATTCAAAATATCAGTGTGTAGATTAAGACTGGCTTCAATTCCTGCTCTATCTCTTCCTAGCTTGGCAATTTAACATTTTTCTCATATGCAAAATGGAGATATAAAAGGCAGGCAACAATAGGCTTACAGTTTTAAAACAATACAATAATAAGTAATAATACAATAATAAACTTTTACAACTGTAAACCTACTTTTGCTCATCTCTGCACTCCTCTGTGAAAGAGAAAACCACGGGCCCCAAACAAGGGCACCTGTGCTAACCACCCACAACGCCTCACCTGGATATAATAACTCACCTGTCTGTCTCACCTTCTCTCAGGAAAAGAACCTTGACCAGTCTGGAATTTTCTGGTCAACACCAAGAAGGTAATTTGATAAAACCCAGAAGATATTGTGGTCTAAAAACGATGCTTTCTCTCCTTTAGTAACACCTCCCTTGCCCTGCCCACCCTTCTCCCTGGGAAACCCTTCCATTCGGTACATTCCCACTGAGCACCCCGCTAGCGGCTGGATCGGGGGTGCTGTGTGGTGCATGAGTTGCCTAATGGAGCCAATGAGATCTGTCAAGTTCCTCGGCCACATTTCATCCTTGAACACTTCAAAATGGTCTCTGAAAGAGAAAAATAAGGTGATACATGTGCATAAGAAACAGAACAAGTGCCCTGGAGGTGGCTGTTGGTTCTTTTCGCTTGTTGTTCTTGCCGAAGTCGGATCAGCACTGAGCCAACTGCGGATGGGACGGGTTCCTGCCCTCCCTCCGGTAGTTTGTTTATTCTTTAGGGACCATCCGTCCCCTCCAGAGTCTATTATCAATCGTTCGCTATGGCGATTCGGGAAGCGTTGCTCTTGTGCTGCTTCTCTGATGAGGTCTAACTTACGCCTCTGGTTCGGGGAAGCCACTATGCTGGAGACAGAAAATGCACACCGCCTAAATCCACGGCTGCAGCTTACCCTTCGAAGTTGCGGGGTGCTATTGTGTAGGGGTATCCCGTGGTGTTAAGTTTTAAAATAACTGAATTTTTTCAGGTGGTCTTTCCCTTCAGGTATAAAACAAGAAACTCAACAACCCCAGACCTCTAGAGCATGGCTTCTGACCAATATCTCACCAGGGAACGCAAAGCAAATTGAAAAGGATAAGATAACTCCTTATCTCACCAAACTGCCCTAGGCAAAAACCATTTATATAAGGGGATAGAACTGCAGGTTTAGAAAGGACGGACCCTGGGAGTGGTCATTTCAAGAAGGGCTGGCTGAGAATCGGGACACAGGCACTTCTGCAAGGGGAAGACCTTGGTTTCCAAAGGTCCTCCCAAGAACCGTCTCAAATATCACTGGCCAAGAAGACTGCCCAGTGCTGCTCCTCCCAACCCTTCTCAGGGTTGGCATAGGCCTGGGGGTGCAGGGCAGGGCTGAACTTTGGGGAGGGGATCGGTCTCCAGCGGTGCCCCAGCAGCGAGGGACAGGGAAGCAGGCCAAGAGGACGTTGTGTGGACCCAGGAGTTCCTGCCCCAGCAGCACCGGTTCCTTCTATTCCTGTGATCAGAATCTGACTCATGGGAGCTGCACCTGCAGTGAAGGAGCCCCGCAGCTGACCACCCTGCCCCAGGCTCCCTGGAAAACTCTGAAGAGACCCAGCTTCCTCCCAGGGTAAGATCCTGTGTCTGCTGGCAGAGCCCCAAGGCTCCCTGCCGCCTCTGCTCAGGCCGGGGACTTGCATTGTGCTCCGGCCCGCGGAGCAATCAACTGGGGCTCGACCACCTACCTAGAACAAATGGGTTGGGGGGACAAGAGGCGCGAAGAATGGCAGCAAGACAAAAGATTCTGGTCAAGCTGCAAACTTTATTTTTCCGAACTGGGTATATATATGGGGGGGAAGGGAGAGGAAGGAGATTAGGTTGCTTGCTATTGGCTAGCTTGAGACAAAGAAGGGCCTGCTTATTGATTACTTGGGTGCAACTGGTACTCGTGGACACCTCATGTGCCTGTAGCCGATTGGCTTTGTGGAGTGCACAGGTTCCTGTAATCAATGCAATGTTTTTAGCTAGAAGCCAGGTGTAAGGTTCCCAACAGCATTGAGCAGAAGTCCAGGGCAAAGGCCTTTGAGGTGCTCACTCCCCCTTTGCTTGTTTACTAGAATCCATTTGCTGGGATTAAAAATTATCTGCAGAATATCAAATTCCCTGCAGAGGCCACTTTGGGACAGCGTGGGCTGTGTGAGTGGAACTCAGTGTAGCCCCAGAGGGTGGTGCGGCGCTGGTCCTGGCGCTGGGAGTCACGTGGCCTTCAGCCAGACAGGCTGCACGCTGGACTTGGAACCTGCAGGTGAGTGGCTGCGATGAGCGGTTGCTGAAAACTCTCACAGGCAAAGTTCCCAAGTATGTGAAAACCTGGAAAGTGTCCTGAAATGGCTTTGACTGCATTCATACTCTGCAGGTTGTAAGTGCTTTTTTTTTTAAACTAAAAACATTTGTAAGGCTTTCATGGGAGCACAAAGACATCATGAAGTGTGGCACGCACTCGCGTGGTTGTTAATTCCGTCAGAGACACAGGAAATCGGAAAGCCTTTTTATAAAACATTTTTTACTTATTTCTACTTGGAGAGAAGGAGAGGGAGAGAAACATCGACTGGCAGCCTCCCACCTGCCCCAGATGGGGCCTTGGCTCCCAACCCAGGGTTGTGCTCTGAACAGGGATCGAACCCAGCAACCTTACAGTTCACATGCCAGTGCTCAAACCACTGAGCCGCAGCAGCCAGGGCCGGAAGACCTATTCTTAAGTGACGTCTTTAAGCAAAAGTAAAAGGGGGTGGCTTGTGGATGTGGACTGGGCTGCCTGCCCTGTAGCTGAGGGAA